ACCAAAAAAAAAAAAAAAGCTGAGGAACTGTTCCAGACTTAAGAAGGCCAAAGAAACACAGAAACCAGACACAAGACAGGATCCTGAACTGGACACAGTACTGGAGGAAAGGCCATCAAGGACACGCATGGATCAGTTCAACAGACCTGGAACCTGGAACACGGGCCATTGATTTTGTTCCAAGAATATGAGTTAAAACATAAACAATAAATCAGTCAGATCTTCACCCCTTAGAGATTTGGGGAGAGGGTTATTTTGTCATGTGACCCACAGAAAAGGACTGTATTCACCCCCAGAGGCCCAGGAGGATGCCCGCTTATTCAGACATGAAATGCAGCCAAGACACTGGATCTGGTGATTTTTGCAGGTTTGCCCCTGTTGCATTTCATGCTCAAGTTATAGGAGTTTGCTCCATCACTCATTCAGTCACCAAACATTTCCGGAGCCCACACTTGCATGCATACAGCATTTCAAAAGAGGTAGTGCTGTGGCAGTCCAATGAGGCTGCACTGTCCCCAGGATCCTGCGAAGAAAGTGGTCTGGGCAGGAGGGACTACTTCTTTGGTAGTTCTTTAGCTTCTTCACAGCTAACCCAAACATAAATTACAGGGAAAAGTTTCTAGATACTTTGGTTACTAAAAAATGCAAAAATTTAATAGCAGATTAAAATCAACGAGTGTGTCTTCATGAAACTTTTGTTCCTAGTTTGTTTCCACTGACCACAAAATACTCAGGACCAAAAGAATGCATGCAGACTCTGGTGCCTGGGTGTGTCTTGAACACAGTATTTGTCCCATGTTCTCATCAGCCCAGGTGGCCTCCTCCTTCTTGTCCGTGTGTACCATTTACAGATGAATCCTTCCACAAAGGGCCCCTGGACACCATGGCTTTTGCCTCCTGATCTGATGCATGAGGCCAAGTGAAGAAACTGCCAAAAGCATTTTGGTTCTCCCAGCATTAGGAGTGTGTGATGAAGGCAGCAGGGCCACAGGGAGAGCAGATCCTCCGGTGAAAGGCATCATGAGGAAGCCACTGCCAGGGAACAACGGACAGGCCGCGTGGCTCATGCAGGAAGACGTCTGTCACAAGTCACTTTCCAGGGAAAAGCGCACTGCTGGGGTTTGTCCGTTTCTGATGAAGTAAAATACTTAAAATATGTACACCCAGGCTGACTGGACGTTTGATGATACTGAGAAATGCAGTCAAGGTTAGGTGTGATGATGGTGCTCACAGTGACACTCCAGAGCCCTGTCTTTTGGAGAGACATGGCGAGCCATCTGTAGATGAAAGGATGCGATGTCTAGGATGTGCTCTCCAACAGCCCGGGTGGAACGGGACGGGAGAAAGAGATGAGACATGAGTGGTAAATCGGGGGTTGGAGGTGGGTGCAGGGAGCGCACCACATGCTTCTCCACCGTTAGCTTTGAAATTTCCCATAATAAAAAAGTTTTTTAAAAAAACGAAATGTGCATGCCAAAAGGTTTACAGATGGAATAAAATGATGCCTGGAATTTGTTTCAGAATAATTCAGAACGGGCTGTGGGAGAGTATACAGAAGAAGCAGATTGTTGTCCAGGAAGCTGGCAGCCGGGGAAGCTCCGTGGGGCTCATCGTACCAGCCAGCCTGTTCTCAGCTGTGCTTGCAGCTTCCACCGCGCAGGGTCCTCACCAAAGACAAGGAGGAGGACGCTGCAGCCGGTATGCATGACCACACTGAAAAAATCCCCACCCAGCTGAAGACGGCTGCTCCAGGAGACGCTGCTGCAGACGGGGTGGCTGAGGTGGGAGGGCCCTGCCATGGCCCGCCCTGGGCCTTCGGAGGGGCACGCTGGGTTCCTCTACCATGGCCACCATCACACAGACGGCCCCGCCATTGTGCCTTTCTCCTCTCATGTCCTGCTCAATTCCAGTTTCATCCGCTGGATGCTTAACCCACTTTCAGTGGTTCTGTACAGCAAGCAATTTGTATGGAAGGTCATTTCACACACTGCAATGTTTCCATTCCAGATTTCACCCAGGAAAGTGCGCTTGATGACAGTAAAATGGAATCCAGTATTCCCAGTTACAATCCACCAGCACATCAGAAAGTACTGACGACTGGCCAGGTGCGGTGGCTCATGCCTAGAATCCCAGCACTTTGGGAGGCCAAGGAGGGCAGATCACTTGAGGTCAGGAGTCCGAGACCTGCCTGGCCAACATGGGAAAACCCCATCTCTACTAAAAATACAAAAAGTAGCCGGGCGTGGTGGGTGCCTGTAATCCCAGCTACTCAGGAGACTGAGGCAGGAGAATCGCTTAAACCCGGGAGGCAGAGCTTGCAGTGAGCCGAGAGTGCGCCACTGGGGGGCGAGACAGTGAGACTCTGTCTTGGGAAGCGAAGGGGAGGGGAGGTGACAGGATGGGAGGGGAGAGGAGGGGAGGGGAGGGGAGGGGTGGGGAGGGGAGTGGGGAGGGGTGGGGGGGGAGTGGGGAGGGGTGGGGAGGGGGGGGGGGGGGGGGGGGGGGGGGGGGGGGGGGGGGGGGGGGGGGGGGGGGGAGTGGGGAGGGGTGGGGAGGGGAGTGGGGAGGGGTGGGGGGGGGGGGGGGGGGGGGGGGGGGGGGGGGGGGGGGGGGGGGAGGGGTGGGGAGGGGAAGGAATGATTTCACAACCTCACCCGCACCCCAGATGCCCGTGCAGCGGCCACCATCGAAACCATCTGTTGTCAGGAATTTCAGATGAGGGTTAAAAAGGAATAAAGTGTCACTAAGACATCTTGGTTTTGGCATACAGATGTCATAATCACAAGTACATTACAATTAATATTCTCTAGAAGACACTGAGAGTGAGGCGCCAGGCCCCCTGCTCCTCCCCACCTCCCCTCACAGCCCCTAGGCACCACACACCAGCCATCAGGCTCAGGCCGTTTCTCCTCCGCCCACTCCCCAGCCTGGGCAGCCCCATCCCTCTCCATGAGCCACACCCACCCCAGAGGCCCCTCCCACCCAAGGGTATTCACAAACAGCTGCATTTTAGCTGAAATTTCTGGTCATAAGTAAAAGCAGAACTGGAACAGTTTCATTAAATGACTGTGACTGCGTCAGGCCACAGAACACTTGGCACCTCTGGATTTCTGCACCTAATTAGGACTCGGAATCATAGGGACCAGAGGAGTGGACACTGGCAAGGTCAGCTCGCCGCTGCCAGAAGAGATTAGAAACATCAAATGGCAGCTGTACCCCGACGCCCTGCTCTCCCGCCTGAGGCACACCCCAAGACCGTCCTCAGCACCTCATGCTCCTTCACAGGCTGTTCCCGAAAGAGCTGCCCAGTCGCAATGGCAGGCCGCATCGCCATGGACGATGTCTTGTCAGCCGTTTTTTGGTTTCTAATTTACTTGTTAAAATGATACAGAAGGGCCGGGCGCGGTGGCTCACACCTGTAATCCCAGTACTTTGGGAGGCCAAGGCAGGTGAATCATGAGGTCAGGAGATGGAGACCATCCTGGCTAACACGGTGAAACCCCGTCTCTACTAAAAAATACAAAAAATTAGCCAGGCGTGGTGGCGAGTGCCTGTAGTCCCAGCTACTCGGGAGGCTGAGGCAGGAGAATGGCGTGAACCCCGGAGGCGGAGCTTGCAGTGAGCCGAGAATGCCTGGGTGACACAGCAAGACTCCGTTTAAAAAAATAAAATAAAATTATACAGACGTACCCCTGATCTGCAGTTTGACCCTCAGTCAACCTTGGTCTGAAAATATTAAATAGAAAACTCCAGAAGAAAACAATCCCTAAGTCCTAAATTGCATGCCCCTCTGAGCAGTGTCCCACCCGGGGCATGAATCATCCCTCCGTCCTCCGTATCCACACTGTAGACACCAACCGCCCACTGCAGTTGAGAGGTAGAGGAAGAGACAGAGACTACATTCACTTTTATTACCGTATATTATAATTGTTCTATTGTTATTGTTGTTAAATATCTTACTGTACCTAATTTACAAACTGTATCACAGGTATGTATACGCAGGATAAAACCTAGTATGTACCGTGTAGGGGTCAGTATTACAGAGGTTTCAGGCACCCACCGGGCTCTTGGAACAAACGCCCTGTGGAAAAGGCGGAACTACAGTACTGGCTTTTTCAAACAGAAAACTAAATCTTAAGAACAGCAGGATTTGGGTTTTTCAAAGAATCTACATTAATATAAATGATGTCCACATATTTTCTTTCTTTCAACTGGACCTATAAATTCTTACTCTTAGTGTCCGACAGGTATATATAAAGTTCCCTATGAGAAACCATCTCTCACGTGTGCAAACTGAAGCTTTACCGCACTACTGTCATATAAAAATACACTAAAAATGGCCTCATTTTTCAAAATAATTACCGATTCAATCATCATGAATTCACACGATTATGATACATGAAACTTACTGACTTATATGCGTTACTCCCAGCCAGCAGAATGCACCTGCCATTTGTGAACCATCTATTTGGTCTTCGTCCAGTTTCCTGGTACACAACTCCTGAAACCCCCGGAGTCTCCGAAGTGCTATCTTTTGTGTGCTAATGAGGTGACCGTGGCTGGTAGCCCCTCGGTGGCTTCAGGATGGGGCTGCTCACAGCAAGACCAAGGCAGGGGGAGGGGAGTGACTGAAGGTTACATTGATCATCAATGGCCAGTGTTTAATCAATCATGTCTACGGAATGAAGTGTCCATCAAAACCCAAAAGGACTGGCTTCAGAGAGCTCTGGACAACTGAACCCACGGAGGTGCCCAGAGGGCGGAGCCCAGCAGGGCATGGGAGCTCCAACCCCTTCCCACATTCTTGGCCCTCTCCATCTCATCTGTATCCTTCGTAACATTTCTTACAATTAGCTGGTAAATGTCAGTAAAGTGATTTTCACTTATTATTTATAATAATCATGCCTCTTTTTAATGGAAAAAGCATTCATGCCCACTACATTTATCCTCAGCACAGAGTTCATCGCCAGAGGAACCTGAGTGCAAAAGGCTGTTCTTACATTGCCGTCCACTCCTGCAGGGCTGTTGAACACGTACTCCAGCTGGAAGATGACCGCAAACGCAGGGTGGCCGACCATCTCCGGGAGGCGGAGGCGGCTTCTCAAAACCAGAGCTTGACTCCCAGAGCTGGGTCAGAAACACAAACCGGGAGCGCATTAGAGCTCAGGCTCCCATCTTTCCTGCATCCACATCGACCACTGTCAGCAACAGCCAAGGGGACACCCTGGGGGACACAGGGGTGCTGCTGCCACAGCAAGTCTACCATGTAACACTGCATGCTCTTCCCAAATGATCTGGGAATTCCCCCAAACCATTGCTTTTTTTTTTTTTTTTTTTTTTTTTTAAGAGATGAGGGTCTCACTATGCTGCCATGACTGGTCTCAAACTCCTGAGCTCAAGCAATCCTCCTGCCTCGGCTTCTCACTGCTCTTTCAACGCCTTTCCAAATTACCAAAGCTTGATACGGCCTGATATGGCCAAGTTACCAGGAAATGCCATAGAGGATGGAGGCTCCTTCTTCAAGGCTGGCCTACGGCAGAGGACACCTGGCCTCTGCCTGGCACCATAAGAGAGGAGAGGCATGACGCCCTGCAGTGATGTCTGCGACACCTGATTTGGGAAGCACTGGATTAAACAGAGCAGCAGGTCTTGCTGCCCCCTGATTCTCCGTCCTATGAGAAACTAATCACAGGGCACATCTAGAAGGCAGCATGCAAGGCCTCCTCAGACCCTCAGCAGCCGCAGCTGGAAGCATCCATAATGCTAACCCCCAAATTGTCAGAGCACAAACGGAAAAAAAAGGGGGGGCTTTTTCCGAACTTCCAACTCCAAGGTTGGTTCCTAATGGGCACAACTTAGCAAGAGGAAAGAAACATAAGGAAGAACTCCCCCGTGGATGAGTCCACACCTGACATGCACAAATTTCATTGTGATCCCTTGTACATCCCCACCCATCCCTGGGGACCCAGGGGACAATACCTGGTCTTGGAAGAGGAGACCACTTTCCTGCTGAAGCTGGCTGAGCGCGTCAAGGCCACATCCATCTCAGGCACCAGTACAACGACCTGCGGCCTCTGCACGAAGCCCAGACCGTTGTGCACGCCCACACGCAGGCGCCGTTCCAGGATCTCCAGGCCACCACCGTCCAGTGGGCCACATCCCTGGAAGAGGCACAGGCAGAAGGAATGAGCCCCGGCACAGACAGGAAGAGGGAGCTCGCCAGAAGTCCCTGGGGGAGGCGAGCAGAGAGAAGAAACTGGAGCAGAAGCTGCAGATAACTGCAGATCAGATGGTGCCTAGTCAAGATGAGTGCAAGCAAATGACAGACACAGCACCCAATCCCAGCCACTGGCCTTGGGGCACTGCCCAGGGAGTTTTGGCATTTCCGACACAGCATGATCCTCTCAGCACAATGCACACCCTCGGATGCCTCGATCCCCAAACCCTGACACTAGCTTTCCAAGGTTGAGTTGACCATTCTCAAGATGCAGCAAACTCGTATTTGGCTCCTTCAAGACTCCTCCAAGGTCCCATAGCCCACTTTCCCAGAGTCCCCTTTCCCAGAGGCTGCTTCCTGGGGCCCAATTCCCTGGACGATGATGGAAAGGTGCTCAGAGGCAGAACTCATCACATTTCAACTCTACCGAGAGACCTGACTCTTGGTTGGTGTACAAAGGGAAACATGCTTAGGCACTAAGTCATAAACCAATAAAAACAGAATCTGCCCCAAAGTGGTCACTCGATATTAAAGTGTTTCATTTTAACAAAAATGTACAGGCACTCTAACAAATGAACAAGGACATTCCCCCAGCTATTAGTGTTTATTAAATTATGTGATCTTTGCAAAATGATCCCCAAATTGTCAAGTTTTCTTTACTGTCCATTAATCAAGTGGAACAGACCTAAATTCAGCCTTTGGATAATGAAAATAAAACTATGCAGATAACTGAGTATCTGCCAGTTGGACTGGAACAAAAATACAAAGACAGTAAAAATACATAATAAAGTGATTTTAATGGGACTGTATAAAATTCAACAATGATAATCCTAAAACATCTCTACCCTCACACAATCTGCCCTGAAAAGCGAGAAAACAGCAGGAACTACACCAAGGAAACTGATGTTGCTGTTTCAATCCTATTCTCTGCTTTGTGTGTACATAAGGCCATATTATGTGGAACTGCATTTTCAAGAATGGGTAGGGAGCAAGTAAGTCCAGCTCATTCACACACACACGTGCGCGCGCGCACACACACACACAATAACTTGCTAACTTAATAGACTACTAGGATGAGCACCTGAATCATTCATTCTCACAACTAAATATTACAGCCCTACTATGTGCCAAACCCCGTTCATGCACATCACGTGTCATGGTAAACAAAACAAAGTCCCTGTCCTGGTAAACAAACACTCACAGCAAGAGACCAACAATAACAGAGAAGAAGCCCAGCTGCTTCCAGGAAGGGCTGAGCACCCAGGAGGAACGCGGGGTGATGGCTGGAGACACGGTGGCAAGGGCGGGGAACAGCACCCCTGCAGGACAGTCAGGGGACCCCGTCCAGACCTGAAGCCTGAGGGGAAACATGCAGAGATGTGCAGGAAGAACATTCAGGAAAGTCTGCTACATGCTCCAGGACCCATGCAGGGACAAACATGAGTCCGAGGTCACCCAGGCGGAGGCAGGCCTGAGTCCAGGACTCCAAAACAGGCCCAGGAAGTAGCACACAGTGAAATAGGGAAACCCGCAAAGACCAATCCATGCCCAGGAGGCATCACGCAGTGAGGCAGGGGAAACCCGCAGAGACCACACCACATGCCCCCCAGAGGGTCAGGAGTCCAGGTGTCAGTCCAAGCGCAATGAGAAGCCAGCAGCAGGTTTTCAACACAAGAAAAATGGCCGAATTTATGTTTTTATACTTAATCTTACCCAAAAGGCCGAGAAGTGATGAATTTATGTTTTTAAAAGACCTCTTTGACTACTGAGTGAAAAAAAATGTTCTCTGGGACTTTTAAGTGAACATGACAGGGACACTTCCTCAGAGAATTTCCTTCCCCCAGTACCTAAGGAGCAAAATATACCACCAGTTAAGGACAGTGGCACAACAGAATGCACCGGCCTTCAGGAGCTGGTGCCAAGGCAGGACCCAAGCCTTGAAGCTCAAAGGGAGGAAGGCAAGCACCGTGCCCATCTCTGCCTCCACCCCCAGGAGCTACGGCTGAGTTGGCAAAATCCTGGGAATTCCACCAAACCCTCATGGTAAAGGACTCATTCACAGCTCCAGGTAAGGGATCTTTAAAGCCACATCCTTTGTCCTGGAACCTGGAGTCCCCTACCTCTCTGACTCTGGACTTGGCCAGCAACCTGCTTTGGCCAATGGGAGAGTAACACATTTAATCCAAACAGAGGTTTGAAAATGTCTACGCATTTCCAACTCCTCTCTTAAACATCTGCCTCCATGAGAGCAAGCCCAGACTGGCTGCCACAGGAGAGGCGACAGGGAGCCACCGCACCCCAACCAAGGTCATCCTAGACCAGCAGACCCCAGCAGACCAGCCAGCTCATTGCAGGCCCATGAGGATTTTCCAAAAAAGTCCCTTTTACTTCCTGCTCGAGATTCTACTAAAAGTCAGGATATACATGGAAGAATGCTCAGCCCCAACCTTAAAATAGCCCAAAAGTCCATCAGTGGTAGAATGGATTCATAAATCCTGGTGCCCTCACATGGACAACCATCCAGCAAAGAAAGTGAGCAAATGGAGCCACAGTCACTGCAGACTGCCTCTCACGGGAGCAGAGTCTTGAGCAAAAGCAGCAAAACAATACAGAAGAAAAAAGTACAACTTCATTTAAAGATAGGTCAAAAGCAGGCAAGCCTCTAGTGTTTAGAGATGCCTGGAGAGGCAGTAAAACCAGAACAGAAAGCCAAGACGTGATTCGCACAAACGCCCTAGGGAATGGGCGGGGAGGAAGGTGCAGCCAGGATGAGACCAGAGAGGCTCTGAGGGTGCCTCTGTGGGTGCCGGGCCCGAGGCCTCCCCCTGCTGTCCTTCCTCACGTCGCGCAGTCACGCAATCGCATTCTGCGCACTGCTGTGGGACTCATCATGAAAGGGGTGCGACATGAAGAGGACTCGACGCAATAGCAAGATGTTACCCCACCAGTCTCGTGGTTCTCTGCAATTAAAGTTTCTTTCTCTTCGTTTCTGAAGTCGAAAGTGAAGACTCTCTCTCGTTCTAGGAGGGGGAACAAGGAGTGGTTTGCCCACAACCCAGGTCTAAGGGCCCCTCCTTCCAGAGCTGAGAGCAGCCAGGGCTGACCCCTCTTCTCCCCACTCCATCTGGTGACCATCAGCGAAGGTGCGGGCAAGTGGGCTGAGCCCAGGGCCCCAGCAGAACCAGGCAATCTCCGTCCCACATGCCTGCTCCCACTGCTGCTGGAGACAGAAGAGTCAGGGCGGTATTTGTGACAGTTCATCAGGTCCAATTTTTCCAGACCAAGGACAGATTATCGCCTAGAAAACATAAGCAATCCCCAAACCTGCAAAGGCTTTTCCAAGTCTTGTCTGGCATACAAACAAGCTTCTACACAGAAAATCCAAGAGAATTTTTGCTGTCAGAGGTGACGGGAGCTCTAGAAACAACCTCCCTGGCCCTGGTGTTTTACAGTTTGCAAGCCAGGGCATCGCTGGGACGGGGCCAGAGAGGAAACCCCAGTGGATGCTGCGCACTAGGCAGGCTGAGCTCCACACACCTGCAAGACGCAGACATCCCTCCCGGGGGCCACAGGCAAACAGGCTCGACAGCCGCTGCCTAACAGACGGGCAACCCCTCCAGACACCGTGCCAGGGCACCTGGACAAACCCACCACTGAAAAGCAACAGACAGGAACGGCAGGGAGTGTGAACAGGCGCTCAGAGACCAGAACGCAATGACGTGTGACACGGGCAGGCTGAGGGGACGGTGAGGCTGGAGGTGCCTTCCCAGGGGCCCAAGGTGGGTGAGATGACTGAAGGCTTCCAGCCACCTCTGGAAATGAACCCCACATCCCCACCGACATCCTCTGAACATGGGAAGGGTTCTATGGGTTTCCCTACGCCCATCTGGTGACTTAGTTTACTTTAAACGAGGACTATTTCATGATCTACCAGAATTAATGTTAATTAACACCTCAGGTCAACTGCACCTTCGTCACTGTTCAAGTTAAAACAACGACTGGAGGTCCTGGGGGGCCTTGGCTGTGGAAGAAAGGGGTCCCCCTAAAGGTCCAATTCAGCTCCAAAAATTGGGGAAAAGACAGAACCACGTCACTTTATGGCCACAAGGCCCTCCTCAGCAACATCAGATGTGGGTTCTCCCCTGCCCTACCCACCCCTGCCCTGCCCCACCTCCTCCCTGCCCTACCCGGGCCCCACCCCTGCCTGGCCCCACCCTGCCCCCCATTATGCTTCTGACTCCACACCTCCTGGAAGTGGTCCTGGACGTGGAGCTCCAGCAGCTCTTCCTCAAACTTCTCGAGGGAGGGGTACAGGGTGAAGAATAAGTCGTCCAAGTGCCCCGTGATGGGCTTCTGGAGGCGAGGCTTTCGGAGAGCGTCGCCTGAAACAGCGAGGGTGCGAAAAGGATCATCCCTGGGAATAAAACCCACTGGCAGCCACCAAGGGTCCCCACCCACCCCAGCCTCAGCCGGGGCCTGCAGCAAGGAAGGATGCTCGGGACCCCCAGACAGAGCACAAGGCCCAAGCCAAGCCCCCACAACAATTAAGCAAATGCAGATTTCATTGGCAGTCCAAATTCTACTCCAAACCTCCTCCAGGAACAGTTTTTTGTGTTTTGGTTTTGTTTTTTGTTTTTTGTTTTTTTTGAGACAGAGTCTTGCTCTGTCGCCCAGGCTGGAGTGCAGTGGCGCAATCTTGGCTCACGGCAACCTCCGCCTCCCAGGTTCAAGCCATTCTTCTGCCTCAGCCTCCTGAGTAGCTGGGACTACAGACACCTGCCACCATGCCCAGCTAATTTTTGTATTTTTAGTAGAGACAGGGTTTCACTATATTGGCCAGACTGGTCTCGAATTCCTGACCTTATGATCCGCCCACCTCAGCCTCCCAAAGCGCTGAGATTACAGGCGTGAGCCACTGTACCCGGCCCAGGAACAGTTTTTATAATTCGACAACTCAAAGAACACAGATTGGAGGAGGCAAAGTGACATGTGCAGCCCTGCAGCCTGCTGCCCTGCATGGCTTCCTTCCTCTCTCTCCAGCAGGAACACGGCCAGCCACACCGCTCCTTACTTTACTGCGTTACCTTGAACCATCTGCAAACACTGAGGAGGCATGAGCCTGTCAAGGCAACCAGCAAAATACAGCCTGAACAGCACCACAAGAAAAGGGTCCCATCCAGGGGACAGTGGCCCCAGGGACCCAGCTCAGGGTCCGGTGCAGAGCAGGCCCATGAAAAACCTTGGCTGAGAGAGGGAAGGACCCAGGGCTGCCTGGGGAGCCTTCTCCACTGGCTCTAGAGCAAAGGCTCACCCAGGAGGAGGAAGGAGCCAACCGCTTCCCAATCTACACACACTCGTGGACTCTGCCCCTTCTTTCCCCACCACTAGCATCTTCTTCTGGTCCTAGCTCCATCTCTTCCTATATTTAATGATCTTTTACTTATGTAGATACGTAGATTTTTAAAAGCTAATTCCAAAGTTGAAAAACAAAAAGAAAACACCAAGGTAACACCCAATGCTGATGAAACTGCTGTCAACAGAACACTCTCCTATCCTGCGGAAGGTTATGGGTCAGTATCGCCTTTGCCTTCCAGTACGTCAAAAGCTTTAAAATATCACTTTCTGCCCCAGTAATTCTACTATTTGAACCTATTCAGAGAAAATAATCAAACACAGAAGCAAGGATTTATGTGCAAGAATATTCACTGAAACTTTACTATGATAGAGAAAAATCGAAACCAAATGTTCAATAGGCGAATGTTCATTAAACTATTATTCACTCATGCTGAGTAAGAACAAAAAATCACACTGTCAAAGATTATTTAATAAACTGAGAAATAATCATAATAAAAGTGAAAAGAATAGTAACATATAAAACTATATTATTCCATTTGATAGCAATGGTATCTAAAAGTATGTGCACTTACATGTATACATGTGTATCTGCAGGCAGTAATTGTAGATTATTTTCTTTATAGTTTTCTATATTGTCCCCATCATAAACTCACATTAGGTTTGTCCAATGGAACAGAATAGATTCCAGAAATAAATTCATGCACCTACAGCCAACTGACTTTTAAAGAGGTGCCAAGAACACACACTGGGGAAAAGACAGTCTCTTCAATAAATGGTGCTGGACAAACTGGACACCCACATGCAGAAGAATGAGATGAGATGCCCTACCTGTCACCATTTGTAAAAGTCAACTCAAAATAGATTGAAGACTTAAATGTAAAACCTGAAACTATGAAAATACTAGAAGAAAACGGAAGAAGTGCTTCATAATACTGGGCTGAGTAAGGATTTTTAAAGTAACATTGGGCTGTGTAAGGATTTTTTTTTTAATAAAACTGTAAAAGCACAGGCAACAAAAGCAAAAAGAAACCAATGGATTATATCAAAATAAAAAGGTCTTACACAACAAAGGAAACAATTAACCAAGTGAAGAGATAACCTGCACAATGGGAGAAAATATTTGTAAACTATATATCTAACAAGGGGTTAATATCCAGAATACATAAAGAATTTAAGCAACTCAACAGCACACATACAAAAAAAAAAAAACTAATAGCTTCGTTTTAAAATGGACAAAGGGCCTTAATAGACATTTCTCAAAAGAAGACATTCAAATAGCCTGCAGGCACATGAAACAATGCTCAGCCTCACTAGTCATCAGGGAAATGAAAATGAAAACCACAATGAGATACCACTTCACTTCGGTGAGAATGGCCACTATCAAAAAGATAAAATAAGTGTTGGTGAGGATGTGGACAAAAGGGAACACCTATACACTGTGGGTGGGATTGTCAATTAGAACAGCCACTATGGAAAACTAGACAGAGGTTCCTCAAAAAGTTGAAAATAGAATTCCCATATAATCCAGCAACCCTACTACTGAGTATACAATATCCAAAGGAAATGAAATCAGTATGTCAAAGAGATATCGCCACTCCCATGTTTATTGCAGCACCATTCACAAGAGTGGAGACACAGAATCAACCTAAGTGTTCATCAATGGATGAATGCAGAAAGAGAAGTAGTGTATCTACACAATGGAGTACTTACACAGCCACGAAAAAGAATGAAGTCCTGTAGCTTGCGACAACACAACACGGATGGACCCAGCAGACATCAAGGTTAAGTGGAATAAGCCAAGCACAGAAAGACAAATGCCACATGATCTCACTCATATGTGGCAGCTCAAAAAAAAGAGTTGGTACCATAGAAGCAGAGCACAGAACAGTGGCTACCAGAGACTGAGGAGCGGAGGGAGAGGTTGTCAAGGGGTCATGGTACAAGTTATAATCTAAATTCTGCTGTTCTTGCACAGCAGGGTAATGATGGTTACCAGTAAGTTACCGTAAAATACAAAAGAGCTAGAAGAGCAGCTAGAAGAGCAGCTTCTGAACGTCCTGACCACACAGAAATGATGAGTGTGGGAGATCACAATCACGCTAGTACTCTCATTTGATCACTCTACAACACATACATGTACTGAAACATCAAACTGTTCCCCACAAATATATACAATTACAGTGCGCCAAGAAAAATTTTAATAGAACGTTTCAAAAAGCTGGGGTGGGGGGATGACATAAACTAAAATAACAGAGGACAAAGGCCATTTACCAGACCAACTTCCTTTAGGAAGGATCACTTGTGTGCCATGGGTGCCCCATCTCAAGAGGCGGCAACTCAGTGGAGGGATCAGGGTCACTCGGCATCTGGGAGGGGGCAGAAGTCGGTGCTCCTGGAAGTGGTCCAGGCTGGGAAGGAAGCAGGTTCTGTGTGGCCACCCCATGACCAAGGTGCACACGCACCCCCAGGCCCAACGGCCATTCCAATAGTTGTGACTCTGGTCTGCACAGAGAGCTGAAGATGCAAGTCCCATGTACGGGAAGTCATTAGGGGAGGAAAGATGGGTTCCTGCCAGGACAGCCAGACTGAGAAGCTACATCTGCAGTGAGTAGAACTTTCCAGATCCTGGAGGGCCCAGAGAAGCCAGACAAGCCTGGGTATCCTCATTCAGTTGGCTTGGCAGGCCATGTCTTGCAAGCATCATGGGCTCTGGAGTAAAGCACGTAAGCCCAAGCCTGGCTCAGCCACCAAGTTACTCTGTGACCTTCAAGATGCCAGGCCTGGACAAAAACACAGCTGGGCCTGGTGCTGAATGCTGCCTTCGCACATCTGAAGGGCTAGCAAAGGGCAAACAGATCAGACCTCCCAGGACGCTCTACTGTAGGAGGCTTGGATCTGGGCTGAATTTAAGACACAACTTTCATGATGAAGACGCTAGTGCTTTACCAATCCACCTCATTTTCTCCCCAAATACATCTTTATGAGCAGGCCCTATTATTGTGCCCATTTTATAAAGGAAAAAAAAAAGGAAGAATTGGAGAGGCTGGGAAACCTGCCCCGAGCTCACATCGTGGCTAGACGTGGAACACACACCCGCCACAGGTCTGTCAGCCTCCAGCACAACCCAACAAGCATCCTTTCACTATCTGAAAGCATTCATTCTTTCACTCACTCATTCAATTAACCAACCAACAGCAGCAACCAAGACAGACACGAACCCCACCACGGCAGAAGTGACCCCCACAGCAGCGGAGGCGTTCTGCCCTTCACGCTCTGTAGCTTGGCCTACCGTTAATTTATCTGCTGCCAAGTCTCTGGCTAGGAATGGAATTCCCCATAACAGCATTGACCCTATGGAAAAACACACCCCCACTCTACAACAATCCATTTTATTCTGGGACCCCCAAAAGCACACTACAGAGAAAATAGGGGTTGCCAGCAAATGCTTCACAAGCAAGAACCCCCTTCCCACTGACATCCATTGGAGAGCCCCCGAGATTCCCCTAGGCCCTAACAGACTCCCACAGACCACAGCCTCCCAGGGACATAGCTCTTCTGCTAAGGATATTTAATTCACCAGAATGCACCTCAAAAAATAAGAACACTCTAATAGCGGCAGTAGAATGAAAACTAAATTTAGGAATGATTTAAGTAGGAATGAAAATGACTTTGAGCTAGTCCAGGTTTATTCTAAAACACCTTCTATTGCCTTTGGTGACTGTGGTTAGATTTGAGGTCTGCCACTACCAAAATCCATTCAAGACAGATTGATGACCTATCTCCTAAGAGTGCAAAGGAACATCCTCAGCACCCAGCCCAGGGCCTGCTTCACAGTGTCTACTCAATCAATATTTGTTAAATAAATCAATGAATAAATGAACGAATTAGTGAATACATAAAAAGTATGCACCAAGTTATGAACAGTGATTTTCTCCACGGAGTTAGACTAGAAGGGAAGACTTTCAGTTTTCACTAAATGTATTGAATACACATGAACTTTGTGGTTTTAAAATGGTATTTAGCATTGTATAAAAGGGGCACACAAGAGACAAGCTATGTTGGCACTGCACAGGAACAGCTGTCAGAAACCAGCCTCAAGACCAGGCACAGTGGCACATGTCTGTAATCCCAGCACTTTAGGGGGCCAAGGTGGGTGGATTCCTTGATGTTTGAGCTCAGGAGTTCGAGACCAGCCTGGGCAACATGGAGAAGCCCTGTCTCTACAAAATATACAAAAATTAGCTGGAGGCCAGGCGCCATGCCTCATGCCTATAATCCCAGCACTTTGGGAGGCCGAGGTGGGTGGATCACCTGAGGTCAGGAGTTCAAGACCAGCCTGGCCAACGTGGTGAAACCCCCATCTCTACTAAAAATACAAAAATTAGCCGGGCATGGTGGCTAACACGTGTAATCCCAGCTACTTGGGAGGCTGAGGGAGGAGGATCGCTTGAACCCGGAAGGCGGAGGCTGTAGTGAGCTGAGATTGTGCCACTGCACTCCTGCCTGGGCAACAGAGCAAGACTGTCTCAAAAATAGAAAAAAGCCAGGCATGGTGGTGCACGTCTATAGTCCTTACTACTCAGGAGGCTGAGGTGGGAGAATGACTTGGGCGTGGGAGGCAGAGTTTGCAGTGAGCCAAGATTGTGCCACTGCACTCCAGCTTGAACAACAGAGTCAGACCCTGTCTCAAAAAAAAGAATTAGAGAAGAATCTGGCTGCCATTATAAAAATAATTTTAAAAGTTTAAGAAGTAAATAAAAAGAAAGTAGTCTCGGGGCCCACACGGCACTGGCACCCCAAACCCAACAGAAAGGCTGGGCAAATTGTGTTTCTCTCCTGAAACAACTCTGGGAGCGGGCGCGGGGGCGGCAGGGGTGTGGCAGGTGTTGCTGAGATACCTGTCCTTTCTCTCCAAAGGGCGCGTGCGGCCTTCACCTGGTGGAGTCGTTCAGTCCACCTCCCTCCCTCCCTGCACACCCATGTTCACAGCAGCCAGAAGGTGGAAGCAACTCAAGTGTTAAGTGCTGAAACAATCAGCAGAACATGGTCCATCCATAGACCGGAATATCATTCAGCCTTAAGATGAAAAAGAAGGAAACTGGGACACATGCTGTAACATGGATGAACCTTGAAAGCATTCCGCTCAGAACCTTGAAGACATTTCACTCTTAGGATGAACTAACAGAGCAATTCCCCTCTCTTCCTAAAGAATGCCGGCCACTGAAGGACAAGGACTGCATGATCCTGAGAGGTGAAACTGGCTGGGCTTCTGGGTCGGGTGGGGACTTGGAGAACTTTTCTGTCTAGCTAAAGGATTGTAAACACACCAATCAGCACTCTGTGTCTAGCTAAAGGTTTGTAAACACAGCAATCAGTGCTCTGTGTCTAGCTAATCCGGTGGGGACTTGGAGAACTTTTGTGTCTAGCGAAAGGATTGTAAATGCACCAATCAGCTCTCTGTCTCTAGCTAAAGGATTGTAAATGCACCAATCAGCACTCTGTAAAACAGACCAATCAGCAGTCTGTAAAATGCACCAATCAGCACTCTGTAAAACAGACCAATCAGCAGTCTGTAAAATGGACCAATCAGCACTCTGTAAAACGGACTAATCAGCACTCTGTAAAATGGACCAATCAGCACTCTGTAAAATGGACCAATCAGCAGGATGTGAATGGGGCCAAATAAGGTAATAAAAGCAGGCCAACCGAGCCAGCAGTGGCAGGCTGTTCAGGTCCCCTTCCACGCTGTGGAAGCTTTGTTCTTTCGCTCTTCACAATAAATCTTGCTGCTGCTCACTCTTTGGGTTTACACTACCTTTATGAGCTGTAACACTCAACGCGAAGGTCTGCAGTTTCACTCCTGAAGCCAGCGAGACCACCAACCCACCATGAGGAACGAACAACCCTGGACGCGCCACCTTTAAGAACTGTAACATTCCCTGTGAAGGTCTGCAGCTTCACTCCTGAAGTCAGCGAGACCAAGAACCCACCAGAAGAAACCAATTCCGGACACAATCCCAGTCCTATGAGGTCCCTAGAGTCACTAAAATCATGAAGACAGAAAGCGGAAGGGTGGCTGCCAGGGGCTGGGGGAGTAGGGAATAGGGAGTCCGTGTTGAATGGGAAGGAGCTTCAGCCAGGAAAGAGGAAAAAGCTTGGGGATGGATGGTGCGGTGGCCGCACTACAATGTGAATGTACTTACTGCCACTGAACTGGCCATTTTAAAAGGGCTAAGATGGTCAAAGGGCTAAGGTAAAATACGTTATCCTTATTTTACCTTAATTTAAAAATCATCATCACCATCAGGTCACTGATGTGATGCCATATGAGTGAGATCCAGTCACAGTGGTCTTCCTGGCTATGGTCACACAGACTTGAACTCTGTCTCTTATGAAAGCATTGTCCCGATGAAAGAAGCCAGAAATGACTCGAAGGATGTGAGACACACTATTTAGGAGGGAAACGGAAACTAGACTGCCATTCCATCCTCCTCCGCCACCCCCAACAATCCCCCACCAGGCCGTGCTGCTGAGCTGCAGAGGGGCACTCGGCCCACGCTGCCTCCGGAAGAGCCCAGTGCCTTCAAGGTTTCACTGTGAACTAGGACAGACTCAACTCACCAAGTGGAGAGAATCAAAGACGCCCTTACCGGATTCTCCATGAGCTGGAAGCAGGCCAGGGATCTGCTGCAGACCAGACACCAGAAGGTTCTCAGGAAGAAGGTGGAACGCAGGCTCCAGGGCCGGGTGTGGCTTCAGCGTGTACTGCAGGCTGCAGTTCTCAATGAGGGTCATGTGTTTGTTTTCTGGGGAAGAAAACACCAATGTGATCAATTGATAGCTGAAAGCAAAGGCACTTCCAGTCAAACCAGCCAATAAACAGAGAATGTTAGAAATGCCACAAACAGGAAAGGGACTTTTCTAGGGAAAGTATAGTAGTGCTCTGTTCAGCTCAGAGTGAAAGGCATTGGTCTTCAATAACCTTCTCTAGGAAAGTTACAATCTACACATTTTTTTGATTTTTCTTTTTTTGTTGTTGTTTTTGTTTTTGTTTTTAGAGACAGGGTCTCACTCTGTTTGCCCAAGCTGGAGAGCAGTGGTGTAGTCATAGCTCCCTGGAGCCTCAAACTCTTGGGCTCAAGTGATCCTCCCACTTTGGCCTCCCAAAGTGCTGGGATTACAGGCATGAGACACTACGCCTGGCCTGGAGGTGCAGTTTGTAATCCAGCATAAAATCTCTCCCACCCACTACTTCCCTCAGTCTCCTGAGAGCAAAGGCACGGGCTGTGTGGTTTCCCCAGGTCTCGCTGGTCCCTGCCATCAGAGGGGCCTGGAGGACACCCTGGCCCGAGGCCTGCCTGCCTGCCTGCCTGCGCGTGTCGGCACTGGTATCCACCAAGCCCCAAAAGGAGCAGGGCAGCACTGGAGGGAGGCCAGCAGCATCAGAGACGGAGCCCTGTCCTCAGGGAAGTGCCACTTTCCTGGGGTGACAGCTAAGACCAAACACGCAGATACCCATAATGCACGGGAGAACTGGATCCAAACCACGGGACAGATGTGGGTAAAGCACGAGGGGAAACGCGAGGAGGAAAAAGGGCATGAAGGAAAGCCCCTGGAGAAATGACACCCAGGAGGAGTGTGGCTGCACCGCAGTGGGGGCAGGCCCTGACGGTGGAAGGAATAGCATCCCCAGAAATGAGGGTGTGGGGAGAGGCACAACTCCGAAACACTGGGCCTGGGCTGCCCTCTTCACATTCCCACCAAATGGCCAATCTTGCTCAGGCCTGATTTTCTCCAGTGACAGGAAGTCCACCACTTCCCGAGGCACAGGGCATGCACGTGGTCTCAGGCGGCTCAAGTCCTGGCTGCGGCCAGGCCAGGGACAGCTACTGAGAGTCACAAGTTCAGCTCATCCATGTTCTGATTTCACAAAGAGCAGGCCGGGTGCGGTGGCTCAAGTCTGTAATCCCAGCACTTTGGGAGGCCGAGACGGGCGGATCACGAGGTCAGGAGATCGAGACCATCCTGGCTAACCCAGTGAAACCCCGTCTCTACTAAAAAATACAAAAAAACTAGCCGGGCGAGGTGGCGGGCGCCTGTAGTCCCAGCTACTCAGGAGGCTGAGGCAGGAGAGTGGCGTGAACCCGAGAGGCGGAGCTTGCAGTGAGCTGAGATCCGGCCACTGCACTCCAGCCTGGGCGACAGAGCGAGACTCCGTCTCAAAAAAAAAAGAAAGAGCTAAATATGAACTAGTGTATTATTAGAAAAAGAAATTAGTGAAAAACTAGGTCCACCACAGTGGCTCACACCTGTAATTCCAGCACAGGTGGATCACCTGAGGTCAGGAGTTAGAGACCAGCCTGACCAACATGGTGAGACCGTGTCTCTACTAAACATACAAAAATTACCCGCATGGTGGCGCATGCCTGTAATCCCAGCTACTTGGGAGGCTGAGGCAGGAGAATCGCTTGAACCTGGGAAGCAGAGGTTGCAGTGAGCCGAGATCACACCACTGCAATCCAGCCCGGGTGACAGAGGGAGACTCCATCTCAAAAAAAAGAAAAAGAAAAAGAAAGAAATTAGTGAAAAACTATTTTTTTAGTATCTAACTACTTCAAACATGGAATCTGCTTACTTTAAAATTTAAAATACTGCTAAAGGCATTTGACCTGGGTGGCTGGTCAGGAGTCACAACCTCTCCAGGAAGACACACAGGAGAAACACGGGAAGACTCCAAATGCTCAGACCTCAGACCCAGCCACCCGCTTCAGGAGTATGCCCTACAAGTTCACGCATATGCTCAGGGGAAGGGCGGATGCCCACTGCAACGGGGTTTCCAACCTTTTCTTTTTTTTTTTTTTTTTTTTTTTGAGATGGAATCTCGCTGTCACCCAGGCTAGAGTGCAGTGGCATGATCTCGGCTCACTGCAACCTCCACCTCCTGAGTTGAAGCGATTCTCCTGCCTCAGCCTCCCCAGTTGCTGGGATTACAGGCACTCGCCCTCACACCCGGCTAATTTCTGTGTTTTTAGTAGAGACGGGGTTTCGCCATGTTGACCAGGCTGGTCTCAAACTCCTGACCTCAGGTGATCCGCCTGCCTCAGCCTCCCCAGATGCTGGGATTACAGGCGTGAGCCACCGCGCCTAGCCCCACCTTTTCTTAGGGAACTGCCTAAGGGTCAGTATGCAGGAGATCTATTCAATCAATCATGAAACATCGATTCCACGAAATACCACAGAGCTGTAAAAAGAATGAGTCCTTTCTGTGTACCGATAGAAAACATTCTTCTAGACAAATTGTAAGGGAAGAAAGCAAGGTGTGGAACAGTAAGAAGAGGTCAAGTATCAGACACAATACTGGACATTCGCATTAGCTTCTGTGTCCATAAAAAGACCCCGGAAGGGTCTGTTACCAGGGCAGCCCTGATGAAATAACAGCAAAAGTTCCTTTTTCTCACTGTTTTCCTTCAGTCCCTTTATCTATGGGTACAGCTGCTTTAAAGGAACCAGATGGCAAGGATGCCACCAGAGTTTCTTGACCCCTGACCAAATACCAGAGAAAGACAGAGCCCCACGAAACTGCTGCAAACTAGAACAGGTGAGCCCCAGCTGCCTTTAGGCCATTAGCATATCATTATAATGCTAATGTCCACTCTCCAAGAGAAGACCGCCGCGTGTTCTGTACAAGCCACGCCTGGAAGAGCACATTATGATGTGCGTCGGCGTGCCTGGCGTCCCACCCTCCTGGCCCTCTCCATGCCTCCCACTGTCCAGGGAGAAGGTGCCTTTAAAGCGAGGGCTCCCCTCTCCACCCTCTGCCCAGTGAATAAAACCTGACTACCTTTTCCAGTTGGATATTCTTTTTTTGCAGCCAATACAAAGTGGGAAAAGAACTCAGTTTGCCCGTGACAGATCCACAAGAACCCAAAGAGAGAGGTTACCTGGTAGCAGGTGAGGGGATGGGGAAAGGAGACCTCACTCTGAACTTTTTATATATATGTATAACATATACAAACATATATGATATATAAAATATATAATATTTATGTATTTTATGTATTTTTTTGGGGGGTGGGGACAGGGTCTCACTGTCACCCAGGCTGGAGTGCAGTGGTGCAATCATGGCTCACTGCAGCCTCAAACTCCTGGGCTCAAGCAATCCTCCCACCTCAGCCTCCCAAGTAGCTATGACCACAGGGGCGCACCACCACACCCAGTTAATTTTTGTATTTTTTGTAGAGATGCGGTCTCACTATGTTGCCCAGGGTGGTCTCACTCCTGGTTTCAAGCAATCTGCCCACCTCAGCCTCTCAAAGTGTTGGGATTACAAGTGTGAGCCACTGCACCCGGCACTTTTTTATACTTTTGGATTCTGAATCATGTGAGTGTATCACCATTACCAGCTAATTTTGGGAAATGCCTGCTGCATGGATGAGTGAAGGGCCCTGCAGCAGGTTCTTCCTCACAGCCTCTACTCAGGGCCAACAGTTCCACACAGACACACAGACATGCGGACTGTGGACGTGGAGCGAACGTGGTGGCTGTCTACTTTGTTCTAAGGACACTTCTGAAAGAGAAAATCCTGGCATATGAATAATTAGATTCAACTGAAAAATAACCTAAAAGCCAATCTTTAGCAATGAAATGAAGTTCCTGACTGGTTGTTCTCAGCAAACTAAAAATAAAATCCTGAGCCCCTAGTGGACTGAAGGGACCTCCTCTTGGCCTAGAGGACTCCAGAGTAGCCTTGAAAACTGAGTTCCGGGAGTGACAGGAGGGGGACCAGACAGGCCTCCATATGCCCAAGCCTATGCTAACCACCGTTGGCCTTTCTTCCCTCAGGACTGGAACCAGCCCTTCTAGAGACCCCACCGCTGCTGCTGTCCACTGATCGCCTGCCGCTGCCTCTCTTCTGGATAGTCCATGGAAGGCATGCAGGGAGGGCTTTCGTGTCCTCTGCTTCGCCTTTTGACGTCAGAGGGCCGAGAACTTCTCCCTTGGATCCTGCTAGTGCCGCCATGTTTTGAACACGTGTCCCATGAAGCGGCATGGGACTCAGCTGCGCACATGCATGCTTCTCTCATAAACACGCATGACTCCTCCTGGGCTTATTAAAATAAGCAGACTCAGCCCCCACTCAGCAGAAATTCCTCTTCCCTCTGCCCCTCTCTCAAAGGGTCTGTTTCTGGCTTCTGGCTGGAGGCTACACTTCCCAGCCTATCAGAAAGGCCACCTGCAGGCTGCAGCCCTGTATGAGAAATAAACTCTCCTCTCCAGTCTCAGGAACCTCATCACTCTTCAGCTGACATCTCCTATCACGAGACTGTCACCAAGACCTGTGAGGGGCAAAGGGAGTGGGTCTGACATTTTGTTTTGTTTTGTTTTTGAGACAGGGTCTTACTCTGTCACCCAGGCTGGAGTGCTGTGGTGCAAGTTCACCTCACTGTAATCTCTGCCTCCTGGGCGAAGTGATTCTCCCACCTCAGCCTCCTAAGTAGCTGTAACTACAGGCACCCACCACTATACCTGGCTAAGTTTTTGTATTTTTTATAGAGACAGGGTCTTACTATGTTGCCCAGACTGGTTTCAAACTCCATCCACCTGCCTCAGCCACCCAAAGTGCTGAAATTACAAGCCTGAGTCACACTGTCCAGCCAGGTTTGACTTTTAACACAAGCCATGAGGCACACATGGCATCCCCTTTGAGGAATCTGGGCAGCGTCGCCCCTCGAAGAGACAGAAAGTCACCCTCCCCAACAGATCCACCTCCAGCCACTCTTCCCCGCCCACACTCCCCCAACTGCTGGGCAAGCACAGCCTCTGTGCTCCAAGCCTCCCTGATGTCCTTCTAGCCCACCCCCACCCCTCCCACCACACGCCCTTCCTGTCATCCTCCAGGCAGGCAGCAGCAGAGCAGACCGTCATCCCCATTCCTCCCAAATGGCTCCCTCTGGCTGCCTGGGAACGGCCGGTCACAGAGGAATAGCAGGAAGCTCCCCACCGAACCCTGCTCTGCTCTAAGGCGGCCTCTCAGCCATGGGGCCTCGCCATGCTGGAGATAACCGATGGCTGTGTGGTCAGAGGTTTCAGACAGCCAGTGGCTGGTGACGGAGAGCTACTACTCCATCTGGTGAGCAGAGCTGTTCCCCTCCCTCCAGGAGGCTCTCACAGGCCCTCCCGTGCTTATTCCCACAAAGCACTGCCCTCCCTCAGGGCTGGTGTTTCAGTTCTTTACTTTCTGCCAGAAGTCCAAGGCCACGAAACATCTGCCCAAACCTCTCAGATCAATTCGCTAAGCGGACAGTGGTTTACACTGAGAAAGATCCCATTCAGAGCTAAAGGTGGGGAACACTCAGGGAAGGCACAAGAGCAGCGAGTGCTGCCAAGGCCAGGCCTGGCTCTTACGCTCTGCGGGGTCCTGGAGAAGCGGGTGCAGGAGGGCTCTGGGGGTGCCATGGTACAGCCGCAACCTGGAAGACAGGACCCAGAGAACACTCGTCAGCCACATGCACACTTCTCAGAAGGAAACCACATGGAGGCCTCGGCCACCACCACGCCCACCAGAGCTTTCTTAACGCCGCCAGTCCCATCCTCTGTGGAAGGCAGAGGCAGCTGAGGCCAGCAGCCGCTCCCCAAGCCCTCGGTGCTCATGATCAAGCATGTCTGGCACACATGCAGCCCCAACCCAAGGCAGCCTGAGAACCGAGGAGCTTTCCTGGAAAACACCATGGAAATGTATAAAACTCTGAAATGGCTCAAGAAAGACAACATGTGAGGAATTTCCGCGCCGTATGTCTGGAGCCGGGCTTCTCAACCAGTGATGATTCTGCTCCCTAGGGCACATTTGACAATGTCTGGAGACTTTTTTTTTCGTTTGTCACAACTGGGTCAGGGGGCAGGGAGGGGGTGCCCTGGCATCTAGTGGGTTGCCAGGGATGCTGCTAAAAATCCTACAGCACAGAGGACAGCCCCGTGACAGCAAAGAATTCTCCATTCGAAAATCAGTGGTGCCAAGCTTGAGAAACCCTGATTTGGAGTAAACATGTAGGCTTTAACCCTGGTTGAAAGGATGATGTGCCAGGCTATCCACCCGTATGTCCGGCTCCTACACAGAGCCTGGCACGTGGCAGACACTCAGCCAGCACGTGCTGAATGAACACCTACTATCCGCCAGGTACCTGTGAAAACCACATCGCTCAATATTCAAGCAGAACTTACGAGATATGCGTTATCATTACCCCTCATATACAGATGAATAAATTCAGGGCCCAAGAGCTCAAATCGCTTGCCTGAAGTCCCACAGAGAATCAGTGCTAGAGTAGGATTTTGGCCCATATCCATCCTACCTCAAATCCATCGCTCGTGGCCAAAGCCAGCCCTTACTCCAGTCTAAAGAACAATTCCTTAAGTCACTTAGAAATGGCAAACCCAGCCAGACGCAGTGGCTCACGTCCGTAATCCCAACACTTTGGGTGGCTGAGGCAAGCAGATCTCTTGAGCCCAGGAATTCAAGACCAGCCTGGGCAACATAGAGACACCCCATGTCTCCTAACAATACAAAAATTAGCCAGGTGTAGTGGCACACACCTGTAATCCCAGCTACTTGAGAGGGTGACGCACAGGAATTGCTTGAGCCTGGAAGCGGAGGTTGCAGTGAGCCAAGATTGCACCATGCACTACAGCCTGGGTGACAGAGCAAGACCCTGTCTCGAAGAGAAAAAAAAAAAGGCAAACCCCCAAGCAAGAAACATCCCACACTACGCTATTATGGACACACAACTTTAGATGACAAATGTACGGCTTTCTACTGCTACTGTAAGACGAGCAGTTACACCACTATAGAAAGATGCTGGAATTTGGCCAGGTGCAAAACCCCATCTCTACTAAAAGTACAAAAATCAGCCGGGTGTGGTAGCAGCTGCATCACTTGAGGTCAGAAGTTCGAGACCAGCCTGGCCAACATGACAAAACCCATCTCTATAAAAATACAAAAATCAGCCGGGCGTGGCACCTGTAATCCCAGCTACCTGGGAGGCTGAGGCACGAGAATCGCTCGAATCCGGGAGGCAGAGGTTGCAGTGAGCCGAGATTACACCACTGAACTCAAGCCTGGTTGACAGAGTGAGACTCTGTCTCAAAAAAAAGGCCGGGTGCGGTGGCTCACGCCTGTAATCCCAGCACTTTGGGAGGCCGAGGCGGGCGGATCACGAGGTCAAGAGATCGAGACCATCTGGCTAACATGGTGAAACCCCGTCTCTACTAAAAAAAAAAAAAAAAAAAAATTAGCCGGGCGTGGTGGTGGGCGCCTGTAGTCCCAGCTACTCGGGAGGCTGAGGCAGGAGAATGGCGTGAACCTGGGAGGCGGAGATTGCAGTGAGCCGAGATCAGGCCACCGCACTCCAGCCTGGGCGACAGAGCGAGACTCCGTCTCAAAAAAAAAAAAAAACCGACAGACACTGGCAAACCCCACGGTTGAGGAAACAAGGCAGGTACCTTTTGTCCTGGGAAGCAGAGGTAGGGGAGTTCGGTTGGTTGCTGAAGATCCGAAGAATTCCAAATCCACAGGACGATGTCTGGAGGGTCCCATCCCGTTTCTTGCCCTCAGCGACCACTTCCACCACAGCCACGATATGAGGGTGGTTTAAGGATGTGTGAAAATACAAGGGCTGCAGAACAGAAGCCAGAGGACGGTCTGAGTGATCAGGACACACACAAAGAGGACATGGGTGCTGTCCCCACCCCCAAGACCGCCTTCCTACACGTACCACAGCATCTGGAACCCTCTACCATGCCCTCATGTGGTGCACCGTATCTCTGCAGGATGCCAGGGAAGCGGGCACACTGAGGTAACTCCCTCAGACTCAAACACTGGTGTCGGAGCTCTTTATTCCAGAGCACCCAACATCCAGGACATCAGACGTCTGCTGCTTCCGCTCCAGGAACTTTCCATCCCCTAGGAATTCCACCACAAGAAACACCAACAGACCCCAGGCCCACTAGAGCAGAAAGGGGCTAGAGCAGCTATGTACCCAACCCTGCAGCGGGACACCAGGTAGGACCACGGTGAGATCAGCCCAAGACATAACACATCCACCACTACAAACACACACGCGTGCTGATCAACTCCCACTCCCAGCATCGCCTGACACTCAACACAGACAACACACCCTCCCAGTGCTGCTTCGTGCATAACCATTTTGAGTTCCATCTGAACTAACTGTATTTAAACTATTAACAAGAAGAATCCTTGTATTTCTTTAGGTGCTAAGTAATTATCCCCAGTTCAGAGCCCAAAAGACTCAAGCCTTTTTATGCCGAAAATCACCTTGAGATCATTTTATTAAAAGATTCCTCAAGATCTAAGCCAAGTAGATGATATTCAAATTGATCTTAAGAGGTTTTCCACTCACACCTTTCCATTTCCAACATGCAAACGGCCAGTCTCTGCTTCCGCCTTCCTGCCAGGCCCAGGGAGAGGGGGCCTGGGAGGACAGCACAGGAGACTCACCCCTCTCCGCATCTCATATGGGCGTTCCCACTTGGGAATGAAAGCACCTTCACTCTGCTGCTGCTTTTCTATTGCATTAAATTCAATGCAGTTGTTTTTATTTAAAATTAAGGGGCCTGGGGTGGTGGCTCGCACCTGTAATCCCAGCCCTTTTGGGAGGTCGAAGCAGGAGGATCACTTGAGCTCGGGAGTTCAAGATCACCTGGGCAACATAGCAAAACCCCATCCCCACCAAAAATACAAAAATTAGCCAGGCATGGTGGCACACACCTGTGGTCCCAGCTACTTAGGAGGCTGAGACAGGAGAATCACTTGAGCCCGGGAAGCAGAGGTTGCAGTAAGCCGAGATCATGCCACTGCACTCCAGCCTGGGTAACAGAGTGCAACATTGTCTTTAAAAAAAAAAAAAAAAAAAAAGGAATGCCATAAGCACAGTAGACAGAGATGGAGCCACCGATTGAGTTTGCTAATCAACAGGGAATGTTCATCCCCAGGCATCAGGAGTGGTGCTGAGCCCATACCCCAACACCCCAGCTGGGGGGCAAAGCACAGGTCACTAGCTGAGCTCAAAGGCCGCCCCCCCAAGGCAGAAAGAGGTAAGGAGAGCCGAGGCTGGTCTTCTGCTCTATGACTTAAACTTGGAATAATCCTGCTATTAACGAGTCATTACCATGGTGTCACCGAGAAAACGTTTACTGTAATCACAGACTGTCAGCCCAGGATAACAGAGAGACGCATTAAAACATCAGCCATGAGATATAAATCGTTATTCTATTATCTTTTATTGCAATATGATGAAATAATGACCACTTACAGCTGACAGGTGGTTGGACTAAGAGAGAATTATGTTTGTTTCCAAGACTCAAGAACTGCTTTTAAAAAGCCCCACTGCAAAGTCGAGTTGGTCATTATCTCACCTTTTCTATTTATACCTGTGCATATCAGTCTTACGAACACTACCCACTTTCTCTATTGGCAATAAAACAAACATTTTCAACTGTGATACAGAGCAACAACAATCTGCCAGCTTAGAGGTCACCTTGAAATTACTCTACCTGAACCAGGTGGAACCCGCGGCTACGGGCATGTCCCAAGTACAAGTTTATGGCTATGCCTCTCCCTTCTGTTTATCACTAAAAATAATCACTCTGAGGCCAAAAACAACAGCAGCAGCAACAGAGCCCCAGAGCTGCTTGTCTCAGCTGATCCAACCTTAGAATCTGAAGAATCCATCTTTAATCAGAAGAGTCGGCCACTCCAAGTGCACTGTGTCTGAAAAGTTCAGATGGTTGTACCAGTAAATTACCGATTGATAAGGACATATGCTCTTTTCAAAAATCATTTACTGACCCTCCAGTGTGGGAACAGCCCCAAGCTAAAGAATTTATAAGGAACCTGGAAAACATAAGTCAGCTTTCAAGAAGCTCGAGCCTCGAAGGCTTCGTAAAGGACAGATGAGGCAGGCACAAAACTACGAGCAACTGAGACGCATGGCTGCACCCCTCAGGTCATCCCAGCAAAGTCACATTCGACCAGGTCACGAGTGCCTGACCACCCCAATTCTCGCCTTACTCAGCCAGCAGCACCCGGCTGAGGAATACCTGTACACAAGCCCTTCGGTCTAGGGAAACTTAAGGAACGCCACTGCCATACATTTGGAAAGGAACATTCTCTGCATCAACTGAAATTGCACGATTAAAAGGTTAAGTCAAGCCCATCAAATCGCCTGCAGGGGAAGGCCACTTGAGACAGAGGAGACAGGCTCTCTGTCACCCCTGCATCGCAGCTCACTCATCTGCACTGGTCAATTTTCCTCCTTGACAGCATAAACAGATTAATAAATCATTTAAATGCTCCTGTCGTGATGCCTTCATCTTCAAAACCACAGACACCATTTTGCCTCGGGGCCAAGTTTCCATTTTTCACCCACGGTGATGGAAGTGGAATTGGGCCTCTGCTGATGTGCCTGGATGAAGAGGCTGCAGCCAGGCACCCCCCACAGCACGGCCACACGACCCGGCACCTGCATGACATGGGCTCCTCAGACGACGCTGGGCAGCAAGGCCGGAGAGGAGCTGAGCAGGAACAGAATGAGTCCCTTCCAAAAAACTGTTTTAATAAGACTTTAACAGGATATCTTCAGCCAGGCAAATAATGCAGAGACTTCATGTAGTTCCTACCCTCCGGCTCAGACTCACACTGCAGGTTCAGACGGCTTCCCAGACACTACCCCTCAAAGACAGCAGGGATCAGAGGAGCCCATCGATTTCCACAGCAAAGCATCATGACAGGGACAGGGACAGCCCCCTGCCCCACGAATTATCCAGCCCACAATGTCAGCAGTGCCAAGGTCGAGAAACTCTCATTTGGAGTAAAAATGTAAACTTTAATCCTGGCTGAAAGGATAATACACCATCTTATCCATCTCTGCACGTCCAGCTCCTAAACACAGCCTGGCACGCAGAAGACCCTTAACCAACGTTTGTTGAATAAAAACTACTGCCTAGTGGGTCCCTGCTTATGGAAAAGCACATGACTTAATACTCCAGCAGCACTTAGGGGATGCAAACTCCTATCTCTCATGAGCAAATGAATGAAGTCAGGAGGAGTTTTTTTTCTTGCAAATTAATTTCTTTTTTTCCATAGGTTTTTGGGGAACAGGTATTTGGCTACATGAGGAAGTTATTTAGTGGTGATCTGTGAGATTATGGTGAACCCATCACCCAAGCACTAAACACTGAACCCAATTTGTAGGGTATTTTTTGTTCGTTTGTTTGTTTGTTTTTGAGACAGAGTCTTGCCCTATCACCCAGGCTGGAGTGCAGTGGCGTGAATCTCAGCTCACTGCAAGCTCCACCCTCCGAGCTCAGGCGATTCTCTAGCCTCAGCCTCCCAAGTAGCTGGGATTATGGGTGTGTGCCACCACGCCCAGCTATTTTTTATATTTTTAGTAGAGACAGGGTTTCACCCTGTTGGCCAGGCTGGTCTCAAATTCCTGACCTCAAGTGATCCACCCGTCTCGGCCTCCCAAAGTGCTGGGATTACAGGCATGAGCCACTGTACCTGGCCTCAATTTATAATCTTTTATCCCTCACCCTCTAGGATCAAGGAGTTTAAATCACTTGCCTGAAGTCCCACAGGGATCAGTGATGAAGCAGGATGCTAACCCACCCTACCTCAACTCAACGCCCACGGCGAAAGCCAGTTCTCCCTCTGATCCAAAGAGCAACTCCTTGGCTTACTTAGAAAAGTAAGTGAGCAACATGATTACAACCCAAAGCAAGACATATCCAACCCCAGCTCTACCAAAATAAAAAAAATTGAGCTGGGTGCAGTAGTGCATGCCTGTAGTCCCAGCTACTTGGGAGGCTGAGGAGGGAGGATCACTTGAGCCCAGGAGTCCAAGGCTGCAATGAACTAGGACTGTACCATTGCACTCCAGCCTGGGCAACAAAGTGAGACCCCATCTCTTAAAAAAGGAAAAGAAAGTGCTACGAACACACAACAACAAAACTGACAAACTTACAGCTTTCCATTGTCCCCAAATGACTGGCAGTTCAATCACTGCATAATTAAACCCTGGAAACATCACAGAGACCAATCATTTCTCCTTCTAAAAACCATTTTCTTTCATCTTCATTTCAGGTTCCAAGACCACAGCAGTGGTTTCCATTGTGCCAGAGAGGAAATCAGCTCTCCCCAGCTGCAGACAGACAGGCACGCAGGGCCTGAGTTGGCCTCTCAGAGCCATGGAGCCTCCCGCTGTGGAAGCAGCTCGCTGGGACACGAAGCTGGCTTCTTGCTTTTGTTGTGATGATGTTCAGGACGTGCCTGCCCTCTGCTGAGCAACAGCAAGAGCACAGGAGCAGCAGCTGGGCTCTGCAGCCAGTGCTTCCTGTAAGCTCCAGAGCCAGGCCAAAGAATCCAGGCACTGGAAGGGCTCGCAGGAGTTTCACGTGGGTTACGCTGATATTCCTTGACGGCATCCGCTTTTCGGCGGGAAATTATAGCGCACTCATTGCTCTGACGAGTAAGAGCCACTCAAGAGGGGCTTTCTCATGGCTGTGATGATGGGAAGGGGCACAACCCAATTACCTGCGTCCCTCTGCCAGGGCAGGTGCTTTGGTGACACTGGGGCTGGTGGGCTCTGGGAGGAAAGATTCCCCTGATGGGGGTTTAGGCTGTTGCTGGAGAACCGCCAGGATTCCTGCCCAGTAACTCCCCTCGAATAAATAAAGGAGGAAAAGAAGCCCGTCACCCAATGCCGGCCACAGTCATTAAGGAAAGAATCCAAGGGAAAAGTACGTCCACCTCAAAAAGAAAACTGAGAAACTGCACAGGACCGGGGCCTCCAGGATTATTTTTTCAAAGACACTTTTTTAGAAGTTGAATGAATGATTCGCTGGCTCAGAGGAAGTGAAAGGCAATTCCCCTCCACCAGGAAAGGTCTCAGAGAACACGGAATTCTGAGCTCAGAGCTGAGAGGTGTCTTGGGACTGCTCTCCTGCATACGGGCCCAATGTAAATAATTCATCATTTGCAAAAAACAAAACAAAACAAAACAAAACACATCAAAAAATCCCAGCTCTGGATCAAGACAAGCCTTCTGTGTTCCAAGTCTTTTTCAGGACATCGTTGTTTGCAAAGTCGTGCCACAGCCCCTTCTCTCGGGGTCAGGTGTGACACGGGCACTCCACAAAACCCGAGCGTGCAGGGTCCATGCGTTACCATGTGGGGGCTGGACAGCCATGGGCGCTCCAAATGCAGTCCCCTGCTGCTGGCAGCTCACCAACCCCAAAGCAGATCCCCCCAACCCACTGCCGATAGGCAAAGACCAGAAAAACCCAGGCAATTAGTAAAACCAGAGAAAGATTTTCGCCAAGTCTCAGAATCACCCCTGAAAAGGGCAAAGGGTGTTTTATGAACCTCTATTTCCACGGGGGCATAGACAGAGCAATCAGCAGACAGTGTGCAAACATGCTGCCACACCCTCATGCCCATGAATGCCCACTCCTGGGAGCACTCTGCACTTCATCCACACTTGTGAGCAGATACTGTGTACATGGATGCACACACACATTTGCACACACAATTAAGTAAGTTAACTAGTTAACTAAGCTGGAACAAAATCTTTACTCTGTATGAGAATGCCAAGGAGATGGAGGAAACTGCCTGGCACAGAGCACGCTGCTCGACAGCTTGGCAGGAGGGATTCATTCCTGGCACATCACTGGCCTCTGCTGCCCGCACAGGGCACAGCAGCTGCAGACAGCAGGCTCCGCAGACAGGGCAAGGGCGTCAGCGTCACCCTCACAGCTCAAAGTGCCCTGGCCACCCCACACTGTCCTTGCTGCATTCCCTTCTTCAGCAACTCCAAGTCCAAGGGTGCAGATTTTTCCAGAGGCTTTAAGGGCTATGTTCCATTAGTCCCCCGGGCCCATCCCCAGCCTCAACAAGAGACGCACCCAGATGACAGGCCAAGGCTGAGCCGCGTGGCTCCCACAGTCGGCTGCCCTTGGAGCCACCAGCACAGGTATTCCAGACTCCGAAAAGCCACCAGCTCCTAGTCTCCCTAACACATCTGAATCGTGAACTGCACAGGCGGCAGGACACGCAGCTGCCAGGATGTGCTGAAATGCAAGTGCTGCCCAACTTCAGCCGCAACGGAAGCCCTCAGGGTGCACGAATGTAATCCTGAGAAAGGCAGAGAGACGCATCCCTTCCGAAGACTGCCCTACCACGCGACTGGAATTCTACAGGGACCAGGATTCTGCGGCCCAGAGAGAGAGGAGGGAGATGGAAGCCCCCGCTTCTGGCCTGTGCAGTGCGGGCCCTTCGGAAGGGCCGAAGCCTCTCTAAATGCAGAGCTGAAGTCGGGGGGGTGAGGGAGGAGGAGGGAACTGGCCCCGGCACCTCGGTGACTGCAAGCCATCCCTGGTTTCAGAGCATACTCCATCCCTCAGCATTCTACAGAACATTTCAGAACAAAAGGCAGGGCTCCTCAGAAGCAGGAAGTCACGGAGGCCACAGCAGGTGGTGCCATCAGATGCACAGGATCGTTGCTCCCGCCCCCACTCGCCACCTGGGAATAAGCTGGTAGAGTTATTCCATCTCCACGCACCTCAGTGTCCTCCTCTTTAAAATGGTTACACAGGATCCTGACCTGCACAGGAGGATGACAGGCATGAAATGGCGGCATGCTTCTGAGCCGATGCCCGGCCACAGGAAGAGCCTCCCGGTAAAGGATGGCTACCTTCACCACCCGCCACACGGCTGTCACAGCACCAGGTTTCGTGGGGCTCACTGTGCGCACCTGAGGAAGCTAAAGCTAAACAGCCCTATCCCCAGCAATTGGCCCAGCATCGTCACCACCGGGAACTCACGGCGAGGGGACCCCTGCCTGTGCGGAAACAGCACTCTAAGGGCTCACCCGCAGTCACACACGTGATTTACAACATGAAACCTTTTCTGACACGGCTGGCCAGACAGCCCTCTAAGAGGTATTTGCATAAGCTGTTTCACAACCTTCATGTCAGACACATCCTTAGCTGTCATGACATACACTCTAGCCAGGCTTTTTATTGAAGCTTCCTGACCTCTGAGGTCATTCTCTCCCTCTACTACCCATGGGAGGAAAGGCAAGAGTCAGGACCCATCCACGTCAAGACACACACAATCCAAGCACCGGGTGATGGGGTATGGAGGCCTCCCTCGTCACCCACCTAAAGCATACCCCACGCTTGTGGCCCGAGGCAGAGGTGCTGACTGGCCAGAGCAGGGCCCCACAGAAAAGGCACGCCTGGGCAGTGGTTATCTAGAGTAACATCTCAAAGGACAGCCACTGTCACCCCCACTGCTACTCCTCATACAAACTGTCACAACACCAGGCCTCTTGGGCCTCCTTCTAAACCTGAGAAAGATCAAACCAAGACAGATAAGACCCTCTCATCACCTCTGTCGCCTCCACACTGTCCCTGCTGCACACTCAATGTGCTCGGACACCGTCCCTCTCAAACTCCCCCCACTCGAGTTCAGCTGTGAAGCAGCAGCCAGGCATGGGAAAGGCCTCCATGACCTCCATGACATCCATGACATCGCCGGCTCTTAAGAGTAAAACGCCAGCGTCCCTAAGAAGACCCTGTAGGACCCAGTCAGAAGGCACAACAGGGCCACTCTGCCAACCCCACCCACTGGCACACCTGGGCTCTCCTCTTGTCCTAACACCCCCGGCTCTCCCCGCTCTGCTTGAAGCAGCCTCATCCCTGCTTGTCATGGAGCCAGCTTCTTTCTCATCCTGTAGGTCCCAGCTGAAACGGCAGCTTAGCAGAGAGGCCTCCCTCATCATCCACCTAAAGCAGGTCTCTGCGCTCTCCTATGGTCTCCTCCTAAGAACTTAACTTGCAATTCCTCTGTTACCTGCTCAGTGTGTCTCCCCAACAGTCTGCAGTTCTGTTAGGTGAGCGCCATCATCACCCTGAGCCTAGCACGACGCCCTGCAGAGAGCAGGTGCTGAATGCAATGCACGCTGTGCAGTGAACCGCAGAGATAGGGCACGCCGGCCTGCAGGGTGGCCAGCCGCAAGACCACCTGAGGGAAAACACACTACTCAACCAGTGCCCACCCACCTGCCAGTCTCAAGACAGAAGGCACAGGTGTGAGTCCAGGCTCTGATACCTGCTACCTACCTGGGCAAGTCACTTTACTAAATCTTAATTTCTCTACACAGGAGGGAGGGAAGAAAGGAGGGAAGGGGAGGGGATACGGGAAAGGGACAGGGAGGGGAAGGAGAGCAGGAAGGGAGAAGTAAGGGAAGTGGGCGGGGGGGGTGAAAGGGGACGGGAAAGGGGATGGGTGAAAGGGGAGGGAAAGGGAGGGAAGAGGGGAAGGGAGGGAGGACAGGGGAGGGAGGAGGGGAAGGGGGAAGGGTCGGAAGGGGGGGCGGGGAGGGGAGGGAGCAGTAGTGGCAGCGGCCACAGATGAGGTCAACCATTTCCCAATATTCCCAAGAACTCCAAGGTTCCTTGAGACAAGACCCCCATGCCCCCGACCCTTCAACCAGAGCAGAGCTCTCTCGTCTGTTTAAGAAAACTGGCTTCCACATAAGATTTTGTTTGGAAACAAAGTGGCCAGACTGAGCTCTACGCTGCTGGGACCCACAAGTCTGAGACACCCTGTGAGGTCTCGGCAAGGCCCCACTCTCTGGGCTGCCACCCAGGACCCCCCGCACACCCACCCTCCGCCTTGGAGCAGCCCCTGCCTCCGTCACCAGGGCCCACCTCATTAAAGACGATCCTGGACGGTGGCCTCTTCGTCGGCTTCACTGTGGTTTTCCACGTCCTCCCGAAGAAGTGCCGGTAGGTGACATCAAAGAAAGACACTCGCAGATGGCATTCAACCTCTGACAGCACCTCCAGCACTCCCTAGGAGACAATGGGGAATAGGCCCTCAAGAGTCTCAGCACCATGAGCCGGGCGGTCACTGGCAGGCCACGTGGGTGCACATGGGGCCACTCGCTTAGGTATAAGCACCCTGGTTTCCTTATCGGGGGACTACCTCTCTCCCACAGCCACTGGTCTTGGGGGGGTTATAAACCAAAGCACTTGGCCCTCCCCTGGCCAACGAGAGACTGCAGTCCCTTGGAACAGACACGGGCTTCTGACTCAGCCAGAGCCCAGGACGCACAAGAGGACATGACCACAGGAGACACGCGCCTGCCAGGATGAGGCCTGGGGCTGCCGGCAGCCAAGAGGTGAGCGAGAACAAGTCCAGGTGACATCACCTGAGACCTGGCTCAAGTCACACCTGAAGCTTATGCTGGCTGTGGATTTGTTGTGTGAGTTAACAAATCACCTCTCATTTAAATCATTTTGGATGGGTTTTTTAATCCTTTCCAACCAAATGAGCCCTTCCTGATATAATCAGAAACTCTAAATCCTCAACTTCCCAGATTTCGGGGTGATGTTGGCAAAGGAAAAAGCAGATCTTTGAGAACTGAGAACTCATGGCTGCAAATACAAAACACAGCAGCCAGAGTGTAGACAGGCAGGACCCTGCCCAGAGCTTTACCACTTACAGTAAGTGTTGCTTTAGCCTTTGCTCTTCTGTGACAGGTTCTTACCTGAGACAGAGAGTCCTCCACCTTTCTTTCACCCATTCACTTAGCAAACGTTACTTAAACATCTACTCTGCGCATTGACTCTGCCAGCCACATTTCCAGGAGCTAGGGAAACAACAAGGAACAAAACAGACAAAATCTCTGCCCTTACAGGGCTTACAGGGTGAAGAACGGGGAGAGAGGTGGGCGGGGCAGGGCAGGCTCTCTGACATGACCCTTGAGCTGAGAACAAGGAGGGCATGAGAAGAACCACAGGGGGTTTGGGGAGAGGGAGCCAGGCAGGAGGAGGAGCAAACTCAAAAGTCCTGAGAGGAAGAGAGCACAGGTGCCCCAGGAGCCAGCGAGAAGTGCAGGAACTATATTTAGCTGTTTAGTACCTGTTTTTTGTTTTTTTTTTTTTTTTAAGAAAAGGGTCTCGTCTGTCACCCAGACTGGAGGTCTGGCCACTACAACCTCCACCTCCCAGGCTCAAGCAGTCCTCCTGCCTCATCCTGTCAAGCAGCTGGGACCTGGGACCACAGGTGCACTCCACCACACCCAGCTAATTTTTGTGCTTGTTGTAGAGAGGGGGTTTTGCCAGGCTGGTCTCGATCTCCTGTCCTCAAGTGATCCGCCCGCCTCGGCCTCCCAAAGTACTGGGATTACAGGGGTGAGCCACCGTGCCCAGCCTGTATTTTCTAATTTTCTGTATTACTGATGCTCTGGCATCTGGGGCCTCAGTGACGAGACAGACTGTCCCCCAGAGCCAGTTAATTCCTAGGGTGGCAAATGGCAGGCCCGTCAGAACGTGTCTGACATGAAAACCAACCCGTCCAGAGCCCACACGTCCCACTCCCTCCACCTGGCTCACACACCCCAGGAGTCCCACCCTCTGCCCTGTTCTCTCAGGGTCAGTGAGCAGATACGTCGGGCCATCCTTGCACCTCAGAGACCATGACATGACTCTCCTTGGCCAACACCAAGCCTGTCCAGCTGCTCACCCTCCCTAGTCCACTCCTCCCACAAAACCATAACCCTCCTGCCTCCTGAGCAACCTGCGCCTCCCCAGGTGGCCTGTGGGCATGGCCTGCCCCGTGTCCTGGGAGCCCTGAGTAACACACACAGTCTCAGCTGCAGTCGTCTCCTGATCCGCTGGCCTCACCACCCCTGAATGGAAACCAATCCTAGCTACGTTCTAAGCAGAAAGCCCACCAGACTGCAGCAGGCTGGGCCAGGGAGGAGAGAAGGAATGAGCGCCAGGCAGAGGAGCGTTCAGGCAGCCTCACAGCGTGAGGAGAAGCAGGGCTTTCGCTCCAATCAGGCCGAGGCCAGGGAGAGATTCTAAGCAGAAACGACACAATCTGATTCGGAATGAAAATTCCCGCGGCTGCCACGCGGGGGCGGGAGTGGAAGCAGGGGCCCATTAGAAGGCTGCTGCCACCAACCAGGCCAGAGAGGGAGGGGCAGGGAGGGTGACAGGAAGCAGGCACACCTGGGCTCTGCTGCTTCGCAGGAGCGGCTGCGTGGTCATGAAGGGACAGAAGCAGGAAGGGCCAGCTGTCTAGGCTGGCCCAGCCCTCCTAGGTCCAGCACTGGTCCCACATCTCAAGTAAAGCAACCTGGCGGGAGGTGGTGTTATCCATGGGGACGGGGAAGGCAAGCAGAGCAGGTCTGAATACTTCAAGCCCGGCTCCCATCACCATGCTGCCGGGGCCTGGACCCAGCTCCCATCACCACGCTGCCTCCCTGTCCCTCTTCCTCCTCAGCTCCTCCCGCATTCAGACCCACCCTCTGAGCCTGCCTCATCTCTCCCCAGAGCAATCCCCTGGCTTTTCCATGTTGACTGTCTGCCGCCCCATCTAGAATGTGAGCTCTGTGAGGACGTGGGTCTCGAATAAGTGTGTTCCCTGCTCTGTCCCTGGGGTCTAGGCAAAGCTTCTGCACGTGCCCCTCCTCACCCGGGACTGCCCGGGTTCCCCCAGCGCCGCTGCCTCCTCCTCTCCCGCACTCTCAGGAGGCCATCCTCAGGCAGGATCCCGTGGCTCCCAGAACCGTCGCTGGCTGGGACTTCTTTCCAGAACGCCACCTCTACGCTACTCACACCCAGCCTGTTCAAACAAGAATCCACTGAGAGCTCCTGAAGGCACAGTATAGGACAGAGTCAACCCTGTCATCTGCACAGCTCCAAACGTCGTGGTGCCCAACGAATATCAAAATGCACTGAAATACCTACCCCAAAATAAAGAAATGTAATCAATGATCATGGTAAAATTAAACTAAACAAAAAAAGTAAATGGGACAGTATGAGAAATATACTAAAACCATTAACAAAGTGCCCTGAATTCAAAACAAGCATGTAATATTCTTCAGCCAACACCTTTCACAGGGAAGAAAGCTTTGGCTATTATCTAAAGCTATTAATTCTCAAAACAACTAAAATTATACAAACTTGTAAGACTATCTACACCAAACCTTTGTATCATCTATTTCCAAACTCTATTTATAGAATTTATATAAATTCTATTTGTTGTCTTTTAAACACTGCATTTTGATTGATCTTTGTATATAAAACCAACATTGCATTCCTGCAATAAGCCCCACTTGATCCTAATACCCCACCATTTATACATATTGCTGGCTTTGTTGTCCTAATAGTTTCAGGGCTGCTGCGTTAATATTCATGAGGGATACCAGCCTGTACTTTTTTGTAGTGCCCTTGACTGGGTATCAGAATTATGGTGGCCTCAAAAAATGAGCCGGGAAGTATTCCCTCCTCCTCTGTTTTCCAAGTTTGTCTAGAATTCGTCTTACTTCTTCCTTTAGTATCTGATAAAATTCAACATTATATTTTTAACCTCTATAGCATATGTTATCATGATGCTTCTTTCATTTTAATACTGGTAGCCTGTGTTTTCTCTTTTTTTTTTTTTTTTTTTTGTCTTGATCAATTTTATCAATCTTTTCAGAGAAACAACTTCTAGCTTGGCTGATTTTCTCCATTACTTGTCCTTTATTAATTTCTGCTCATATACGATCATGGGTAACATAATGACATTTCGATCAGCAACAGATTGTATGTATGACTGGCCCCTTAAGGTTGTAATACTATATTTCTACTGTTTTTTCCATGTTTGATATACCGTTGTGTTACAATTGCCAACAGTATTCAGTAATGTGCCACACAGGTTTGCAGCCTAGAAGCACTAGGCTATGCCGTGGAGCCTGGGTGTGAGGCAGGCTTCACCATCTAGGTTTGTGTAAGTACATCCTATGATGTCTGCACAATGAGGGACAAAATCGCCTAACAACGCCATTTCTCAGAATGTATCCCCATTGTCAAGCAACCATGCATAACTGGATTTACCATTTCCTTTCTTCTAGTTACTTTGTATGTAATTTGCTCCTTTATTTAGGTTGTTGAGGAGGAAGCAGAGGTCACTGATTTTATACCTTCTTCTTTTCTAATATAGTCATGTAAAGCTATACGTTTCCCTCAAAGAACTGTACTAGCTATATCCTACACATCTGTATATTTTCTTCCATTATTCAGTTCAAATTATTTTCTAATTTCCCTATTAATTGTTCTTTGATCCGGTATGTTAATTTCCTACTATTTGAGGATTTTCTAGATCTCATATTATTTATTTATAACTTAAAAGCACAGTAGTCAATAAACATACTCTATAATTTGGGTCCTTTAAAATTTATTGAGACATTTTAATGGCCCAGCAGAGGGTCTATCTTGATGACTGTTCCATATAAACTTGGGAAGAACGTGTACTCTAGCTTTGTTGGGAGTGGTGTTTAAGAGATGACAAGGTGATTGACGGTATACTTGGGAAGAACGTGTACTCTAGCTTTCTTGGGAGTAGCGTTTAAGAGAACAAGGTGATTGACAGTATTCGTCAGAGCTTCCAAATCCTTAGGAGTTTTTTTTATCTATTTGTTTCTTCAATAATTGAGAGAAGAGTTAAAAGTCTCCAACCATGATTATGAATCTGAATATAGTTCCCTTTAGTTCTGTCCAATTTTGCTCTTTTGTACAAAAGAGTTATCAGAGCAGACCTGACTGTTATGCTCTGAAAGACCAACTTAGAAGTCTGGCCTTTTGCTGGAGTCTGGGAACTCAGATTTCAGGAGAGTTCCTACCACGTAACTGGTAAGAGGGGCTCACTGTGCCTAATCCGTTTATGTACTGTGGCTTATGCTAAACACGTGTTTCCCTTCTGAGAGTCTGGAATTTTGGACGTTACACAACATTTCACGTGTGTTGTTACGATTCATTGCTGGAAGAATCAAACGCATCCTATGTGATTCAACTGAGAGAGGACTCTTGGAAGTTTGTACCCTCTTCCCTCAGACATCCCCCATATGCCTCCTCCCTTTGCTGATCTTGCTCTGTATCCTTCTGCTGCCATAAACCTTAGCTGAGAGTACAACTACATGCTGAGTCATGTGAGTCCTCTTAGAGACTCTTCAAACCTGGGAGGTGGTCTTGGCAGCCCCTAACACAAATGCATGCACATTTAGGGATTGTTATGTTTCCTTGAAGATCACTGTCTTTATGAAGTGCCCCTTTATTTCTGGGAATACTCTTCACCTTGAAATCTACTTTTTATGCTACTAGCACAGACGCAAAGCTTTCTTTGCTTAGTATGTACATGGTTTATATTTTTCCACCCTTCTACTTGCAACCTGTTTATGTCTTTACGCTTAAAGTGCACTTTTTTGTAAACAACATGTAATTGGGTTTTAAATAACTTTTAACATATGACTTTGGATCAGGAATTCCACTTTTAGGTATCATTCTGACATTATCTGTACATGAAATAAAATGAGGTTATTCACTGTAGCAGTGTCTGTGACAGCAAATGACTGGGAAAAGTCTAAATGTTCATCAATCAGGGCCTCACTCAATAAATGATGGCTCAGCTGGGCGCAGTGGCTCATGCCTGTAATCCCAGCACTTTGGGAGGCCGAGGCGGGCGAATCACGAGGTCAGGAGATCAAAACCATCCTAGCTAACACGGTGAAAGACCATCTCTACTAAAAATACAAAAACTTAGCCAGGTGTGGTGGCGGGCACCGGTAGTCCCAGCTACTCAGGAGGCTGAGGCAGAAGAATGGCGTGAACCCGGGAGACAGAGCTTGCAGTGAGCCAAAATCGCACCACTGCACTACAGCCTGGGCGACACAGCAAGATTCTGTCTATAAATAAATAAATAAATAAATAAAGGCTCATTCATACAAAGAAATACCGTGCAGTCTTCAGAAATAACAAGAAAATTTTCTTCATGTAATAACATGAATGATCGATAAGACATACCACCTGAATTTTTTTGAAAAGCAAGGTACAGGGCCGGGCATGGGCTACACCTGTAATCCCAGCACTTTGGGAGGCTGAGGCAGGCAGATCACCTGAGCTCAGGAGTTTGAGACCAGCCCGGCCAACATGGTGAAACCCTGATTCTACCAAAAATACAAAAACTTAGCCGGGTGAGGTGGCGCATATTTGCGGTCCCAGCTACCTGGGAGGCTGAGGAAGGAGAATCACCTGAGCTCAGCGGGAGGAGGTTTACAATGAGCTGAGATCACACCACTGCACTATAGCCTGGGTGACCGAGTGAGACCTCATCTCAAAAAAAAAGAAAGAAAGGTACAGAATGGAATACAGTAAGTACCATTTGCATTTTAAAAAGGAAAAATAAACGCAGGTATATTTACTTGTATTTGCTTAGAATTTATGAAAGTTGTACAAAAACACACTGTATCTAGGGTGATACACCAGGTGCCTGGGGATGCCATGGGATGATTCACTTTTCCTGTGTATCCTTGTCAACTTTGAAATATGTGAATTACCTTTTCACAAATAAAAATAAAATGAAATGGGGAAATAAAATTTCCTTTGCAAACTTCCTAGGAAAGAGGGAAGTGCTATCAACTATCCTGTGAGCTTCTGGAAGGCGGCTGAGCCAGACAAGGAGGGTGGCATCCCAGCTAAAGACATCGCCCTGGGCTGCTGGCTCCACTCTTACTTAGCAGGTTCTGCTGCTCTTCTATAAAATGGGAGTAAGGTGGTGGCAGCTTCACAGAGCTGCTCTGAGGATTAAGTGAATTAACACAGTGAAGTGCTGGAAGTAAAGCTGTGAAAGCAGCAGCCACCACAGTACCTACCACAGCGGCAAAGACACAGCAGGTACTCAATCCGAGGGCTTGGAATTGAACGATACAGAACATCAGTGATTTAATAATGGTAAATTAGTCACAGACCCGGGGCTCCAACAACTGAATATATGTGAATATCACTCTCCCAGCTGCAGAGGAAAACGGCCTTGCCAAGCCAAATCCTGTAAAAAGGGTTGACAATGGCAAGACTGATCCTTCTCATGCATCCCCACGGGCCACTGGGCCTCACGAGGACAATCCAATCGTGTGGGTGTCCTATGGGCAGCAGCACAGAAGCACCAGCTTATCCAGCAGGTTCCCCGCCAGCTGAAGGGCACAGATGGATGTGACGCCATCAGGGCCCAGGTCTGAGTGTGCCCAAGGCCGTGGTACATCCAGCCACGCACAGAGCTGCCAGAATGCCCGGAGCTCAGCCCCTGCAGTCCTCACTGCCAGGCTGAACGTGGGCCATGCTGAGCCATGCACAAGGCCACCTGGCTCAGAAATAACCCAGGAAACCAGAGTACTTGGGTTTTTAAATTGCTCCACTGTGGGCATAAAGAAACCCTACCCAGTGTCAAAAGTGCTGACCATGTCACTGAATCAGATTCTCTTTGCTGATGGGCCACTTTGCCTCCGAATACTGCCAAGGTCCAAGGTAATGGGTATGGTGGTATAAGACGCAAGTGAATAAGTGAAAATCAATACAGATGCTCTTCGACCTATGATAGGATTCCATCCCGATAAACCCCGTTTAAGTTGAAAATATCCTAAGTTCAAATGCATTTAATACACTAACCTACTAAACATCAGAGCTTAGTGTGGCCCAGCTTAAACATGGTCAAAACACTTGCATGTGCCTACAATTGGGCAAAGTCATCTAACACAAATACTTTTTTTTTTTTTTTTTTTTGAGACAGTCTTACTCTGTGGCCCAGGCTGGAGTGCAGTGGCGCCATCTTGACTCACTGCAAGCTCCGCCTCCCGGGTTCACGCCATTCTCCTGCCTCAGCCTCCCGAGTAGCTGGGACTACAGGCGCCCGCCACAAAGCCCAGCTAATTTTTTGTATTTTCAGTAGAGACAGGGTTTCACCATGTTAGCCAGGATGGTCTCGATCTCCTGACCTTGTGATCTGCCTGCCTCGGCCTCCCAAAGTGCTGGGATTATAGGCTTGAGCCACCACGCCTGGCCCACAAATCCTATTTTTAAATAAAATGTTGGGGATCTCATGTAACATATTGAAAACGGCACTGAAAGTGAGAAACAGAATGGCGGTATGGGTACCACCATAAAGTAGCAAAATCAAAAATCAAACCATCGAAAGCCAGGGACCATCGTACGTTAACGGGAAGCCACATCTCAGCTAAGAGCAATCACAACACGTATCTGCTAACAGCACGTTTTGTTACCTGCCTAATTATCGGTCCGTCCAGCCACTTGAGGACACACTGGAAAGCTGTGGATTCCTTCACAGGCTGGCGTGCTCTCTGTGGGTGGGGAGGGACAAGCACATTTTGGGTGAAGATCCTGTGCCAGTCGTTCATCCTGCCCGCCTGAGGGTCCCGTGGGCTTCCCGGATGACCTGTGCCAGTCACATTCAAATAAAGAGAAGAGCTGTAAGGGCTACAGTGGTCACAGCAATCCTGAAGGCTTCTGCCTCCCACTAAATCCCAGAGGAACCTCCATCCCCCAAACCCACACTCTGCAAACCCTAGACAAGTGGACTTTGTTGCTGGCTGGCACCCACGCTGCCTTCCCTGGGAAGTACCATTTGCATTTCAAAAAGGAAAAATAAATGTAGGTATATATTCGTTGTATTTGCTTAGAATTTATGAAAGTTGTACAATAACACACTGTATCTAGAGGGTGATACACCAGGTGCCTGGGGTCGCCATGGGATGATTCATTTTTCCTGGGTATCCTTGTCAACTTTGAACTATGCGAATTGCCTTTTCAGAAATAAAAATAAAATGGAGAAATAAAATCTACCTCCAGAGAACCCTCCGCCCCACCCCTACTCCCGTGGGCCAGACTCAGAGCACGACTCTCCTGGCCTCTGTGGCTGGTTCCGGATGGGGACACGAAGGGATGTTCTGTACAGCTGTGAAGGTTGGGTACCACACAGGGACACCAGGTGCAGGTGCTGAAATACAGCCCTAGGGTAGGACCGTCTTGCAGGGGGCCCAGGGAGCATGAGAGAGGGAATACAGTCCTTGAGCTGAGAGGTGGTCAGCCTGAAACGCCCGGGGCCACCTCAGGAAACACATAAAAACAAGCAGAGAGGAAAAGGCAGGAGCGAGGGCCACTGGGTCCCCATGTCATTATTAGAGTCCTGGGCCGGTCACCCCAAGACACTTCAGCTACATGGACCAAGTCTCTTGTTGCTAAAGCCATTTGGGGACAGGTTTCAGGTGTTACCAGCTTCTTGGTGGGTCCTGGCCGATTTTGAGTGTTATCTGATCCCGTCCAGCGAGCCCAGGATCTAAATCTTCTCTAGCCGACACAGAATCCAAAGATCTGAACCTCGAGAAGAGGTTGAATTCCATATACTAAAATGGCGAGTAAGGAGAAAAAGCAGTGGGTTTGGCCTTCTAAGACAGCAGCTCTCTAAGTCCATTCCCCAAACCCAAGGTTTAACAGGACCCTGTCAGGGCTCTACAAGGTCAAAACGATTTTCCTGACACCAGGTGTTATCTCCTTCACTACAGTGGCGCGGTGGGGCAGAGGCAGCAGCAAGCAAAGCCACTGGGGCCTCACTCGACCCAAGGCTGGTTGGGTTGAGTGAGGTCCTCCCAACCTCTCACAGAAAAGAACAAGGCAGCTTCAAGTAAGAACATCGGTGGTGAAGCCAGGAAAACTACTAATCTTATTATATCTTGACCTTTCAGTAGACACGTTCTTAATTTTGTTAGACAAAATGGAAAATACACAAGCATTTCTGGTGCAAACAGAAGGGCAACAGTCGCCCCCGGGGGAAGCCTTGCTGTGACTGGGCTGCACGTTGAACGCACCGCTTTTTTTATTCAACACCATTTTCACTAAGAGTGACTGAGAGACAAAACATGGGTACTTGGCATACATCTTCTCAAGTGTGAGCAAAGTGAGCGTGTCATTTCTGGGAAAACAACCGTAATAAAAATGGAGCTTCCAAGCAAACATTAGAATTGAAAACGTTTGTATCCTCCACCTTGAGCCTACCAGCTTCACACTTCTTCAAGACTTCCCTGATGAGACGGGCAGTGAAATAACGTGATCGTCTAAGGTTACACCATTAAATGTGTCAATAGTTGGAAGGTCTGCATGACTCCATGAACCAATATTTTCTGAACAATGCGTAATGGTACAAAATCCTGCGAGAATAAAACATCTACCCAAAGTGCAAGACTGACCAAAGGACTTTAACGTCAGAGCACGAAGAGTTCATTCACGTGGTGGAGACTCCGCTTTAAACAAATCCTTAAGAAACTCCTGCTCGTGGGGTTTCAGTGCAGCAGCAAAGAATATCCACAATGACCTAAGAGAGTCCTCCCAACTAGATCGGGAGGGACTTCCTTCACATACTTCAACCAAGGCAACACAGGCCAATACAGACGCTGAGTACAGAAGCAGACAGGAGCCTTCAGCTGTCCTCTCTTAAGGAGACTGTAAAGACATTTGCAAAAATGCAAAAGAATCCCACTCTTTTAAATTTGTTGTTTTTTTTTTGTTTTGGATAATATAGTTGGTTTTTGTAAAAAAAATGTTTTTATGTTAACATGTCATGGCCTTGTTATTTTTAAATAAATTAATATTTTTAACATTTCTCAGTTGTAATTTCTATGGCAGTAAACATTGGTAGACACAACTCACATAAACAAAAGTTCTTTGGGGTCCTCAATAATCTTTTAAAGGGTAAAGGGATCTGAGACCAAAAAGTTTGAGAAGAGTTGTGCTAATGGTTCACCCTCTGCACGCTCCCAGCATGTGTGGGAATCGAGAGGACATGACCAGGTAGCCTGAGAGGGACCTTTGCCCAGGGTCCTGCCTCCACCCACAGTGCACCCAGATGCTGCATCCTTGGCTCAGGGTCCTGCGTCCACCCACAGTGTACCCAGATGCTGCATGTGGGCCAGGTACTCCTCAGAGGACCAGACTCAGTCCGGTCCTGTGTGAATCCAGCAGGCACACACGCTGGTTTGTTGTTTTTTGTTCTCTGTGGGCTATTTTTGTTGCTCAACTTCCCTTGTTTTGTAGAGGACCCTCACCCAACTCCATGTGTGGGGAGGGCTGCTCCCCAACCAATTCCAGCCAGAGGTCTGCAGTGATTGGTTCAAGGAGGAACACATGGCCCACACTGAGCCATCAGTCTCCCCCGGGAGACTTGAGCCCAGGCTGTCTCTCCTCCAATGCCCACAACTGCCCACACCATGCCAGCCCAGAGCCCCAGGGGCCACCACAGGGAGAGCCGACTTTGGACTGCTGACCTCCCTAACTGGAAAAGAATAAATTTGTGCTACTTTTAAGCAACCAAGTCTGTTGGACTTTCTTACAGGAGCCACAGGAAATCATACAGCCGCCCACGACTTTCAAGCAGAAGACACCTGACCAATACCAGCTAAAGGGCCACCTCCTCCAGGAGGGCTTCCTAGGTGCTCCCAGGGTCCAGGCCCCAGGCTCACATGGCCTCTGTGCTTCCCTTGGTCACAGTATTTGTCACCTGTCTTGTGTTGAACTGCTCACTGGCCAAGTCCTTGAAGAGAGAAGTCCCATTCCTCCTGTGTCCTTGGTATCATCACAACTCAGTAAATGGTCACAGAATCAAACTGAAGCTTTAGCAAAGCTACCCTGAAGCTTTTCTTTCCCACTGACGTTTTATAACTTCAGAAGTGTATTCATACAAAATGCAGGCCATGATGGCCCCAGGTGGGGATTTTACAGAGGAAGTATCTCCTGACGCAGATGCCCATGTTCCTCACCTGCCCCAGATTTCTGACCCGGTGCCTCCTCCCTGGGTGTCTGCAGGACTCAGTGCCACACCTGGCCCGAGGACACTGCTGAAGGACGTGTGCACGCCAGTCCACCCTGACAGGGAGCATGAAGCATGTTGGCCCCCGCTGTACTAGCAGGGCACACACTAGGCGGAAGGGCATCTGTTCCGAAAGCACCTGCCACCCACACAGAAATCCTGAGGCTCGGGATGTGAAGGCAGGGCAGTCATAGTCTGAGGGGCCACGGAGGCCGAGGTGACACCTGAGACTCTGCGGGTGGGAGCCCAGGTGGCCGCAGCAGCTCTCACTATCCTCCCAACACCTCATAAATCTCTCTAGGTGCCCTTCCGCCTGCTCCTCAATCCTTTCCACCTCTGCTCTGGCATCCAGGAGTCAAACCAAATGCTCCCTCCTCAGAGTGAAAGCCCCATCCCCACCTCTGGCTGCTCCCACACAGGGCAGGTGACAGAAGAGCCACCACACTTCACCAGGGCTATGCTGTTGTCCTGCGAGACTGTGAGCTCCATGACATCAGGCTAGGTCCTCAGCAAAAGTCTTTTAAGGATGAAATACAAATGCCCTGGAGGAAGTACAGAGGGGCCTTTGGGGCCAAATCAACAATAAAAAAGAAAATTGAGAGGGCTCCAGGTCTTCAACCCAAGAAAAGGGGAAAAAAAAAAAAAAGATGAAAATACACCTGTTTTTAATGAGCCCCTGATGCAAGACAGGAACTCACAAACATTCCATGGTTACTTTTCCAACAACTCTGCAAAATGAGAATCATCATTATTGCCATCTTACAGATGAGAACACTGAGACTCAGGATAAACAGCCAATCCAAGGTCACACAGCTAGCTATTATAACTGGTTATTATAATAGCATTATAGTTATAATACTGTAAACTATTATAACTACCTCCCGCTACCTCAATCAAGGAGACCACGAGAGGCCAAGGGAGAAGAGAGGCCCAGAGGGAAAAAGTAAGAGCAACAAAGGAATCCAGGGCTAATGCTCTCTCCTCTTTCACTTCAGGAAGGGCTCGCAGCCTCCCCACCTGTTTCCAAACTCCAAAATGAGGGCTGTGAAATCTCCCTGAGCTCTCTGCTTCTGTTGATCTATTCAGCAACTATTTCCCAAGCACTTGTGTTCCAGTTCATAAGAAGGCTGTCAAATGCGCTGTCTTCAAGCATCTAGAAAGTCAGTGGGGGTGAAAGACAAGAAGGTGAGTGTCAGCAGCACACAGGCCCCTGGGAGGGTGCAGAGGTGAGCGGGGCTGAAGTCCCACAGAGAGCGGTTCCCAGGGAAAGGAAGACGCACCGGGTGGGAGGCGCTATCAGGGTCCGTGAAACCTCCTTCCCAGAATGGAAAATGTGTAATGCCTGAGACCCAGATACCTTGGGGAGCTTTTGGGGAAGCAGAAGTCTGATTAAGCACTGCCTGGAATTCCCTCATTCATGAGCATTCTTCCAGCACCTACCCTGCGCCCTGGAGAAACGGTCTTGAACACAGCAGACAAGCTCGCTGCCCCCACAGAATGTATAGAATCAGGGCACAAATTAGCACACAAAAAAAGACACAAGTGTGACCTAGGGAAACTGCACAGAGGAGCTGCAACGAACGGAGCCCGGGGTTAGGACCGAGAGGCATTGTCCACCATCATCAGAAATACTCCTCCTTTTGCCAACCGCACACGCGTGAAAGGCTGGATTTCCTTCACAGACGTCCACCAAACCACACATCGCGACACACGGAGGCAGAAAGCAGCAGTCTCCTAAGAAGCCAGACACGAGGAATCTCGGGCAGCAGGGGTGGCCTGCAAGCCCGGGGGCGGGCACGAGCAGCCTGCACGCGTGAGGAGGGCACGTGGGAGCGGGTGGCGCATTCCGGGCCGGGTCGGCCGGGAGGTCCCAGGGCAGGAAACGGGCGCAGAAGGCCGCAGAAGGCCGCAGAAGGCCGGAACGGCCCCGGGGACAGAGACTCGCTGGCACGCCCGAAAGCAGCAGAGCGACAGCTGGGAAAGGATAGCCGGAACGCGGGGCGGGGCGGCGATCAGGCGGGTTCCGCGGGCTCCGGCCTGGGAAGGATGCGCGCGGACTACGGCGCAGGGAGCCAAGGCCCAGGACATCGGTACCGCTCTCCCTTCAACCGAAGGGCTATAGAGAGGCCGTGGGGCAGGGGGCAGGGGGCAAAGGGCAAGGGCCTAAGAGGAACCCACGTAGCCAAACGGCACCCGGCGGCCCGGGCCGCACCAAGAGTCCCGACAAGAGGGGACGCCTGCGGCTGACGCGGGGACAGCCCACGTCGCGCGCCACCGCTGCACCCCAGGCACCGGGCCCCCAGGCAGGGACGGCAGGGACCATCGTACCCCCGAACCCCGAGAGTCTGGCCAACACTGCGGCCCCCAGCGTCTCGAGGCCGCGTCCAACCTCCCCCGCGGCGCCTGCCCACATGGTTCCGCCCGCCGCGGGCCGCGTTACCTAGGAGACCGACCCGCCGCTGCAGCGCCAGAGGCCACGGAGCCCACCCTTTTGGGGGATTCCCCACTCGACGAACCCAGAGGCCCGGCGGCCGGTGCTCAAGAGAGCCGCAGGCCTTGAGGACCGAGGACTGGCCGAGGGGCGCGTCCCGTCCGCTGCCACCCACGGGAGGAGCCTCAGAAGGCGGCGCGCCGCGCACTCAGGCCAAGAACCCGCCTCGCGTCACTTTGGCCGTCCGGGCCACGGAGCCAATCACAACCCAAGTAGAGGGCTACGCTTCGCGAGCGCCAGCCAATTGGTGCGGCGGCGGGCCTATCCTGATTTGCATGTCCGACGACCCCTCAACCAATGGTAGTGTGACTGGCGTGAACAACAGCCAATGAGAAGCTGGGAGGGGCGTGGCCCCGGGCGTCCCACGAGGTGAAGATGCTGCTGGCGGAACCTGCAGGAGCGAGCGGGATTCGGGGGCGCTAAAGTCGCAGGGGCAGGGCGGAAAGGAAGATCCGGCGCGGGGCACAGGATCCGGAGCTGGAGCCCCCAGGTGAGTACGGGGGAGACCCCGGCGGGGCGCGCTTTCCACCGACCTGCGCCGGGACGGCGGCGGCGGGTACCCGCGAGGCCCGCGCTGCGGCAGGCGCCGCGGTCGTGTCTCCATCTCCTCTTCCCCGGCCCTGCGTCCCTGCCTCCGCCGCCGTCTCACCTCCTCTCCAGCCTCCTTACCTCCTTCTCCATCGTCTCCCTTCCCCCATCCCTTCCTCTCTTTCCTTCCTTGTCCTCCCGCCCGACCCTTTAGCTCGCATCCCTGACCCCTGCCCCTGCCGCCGTCCCTCTCCCCGGTGCACCTCTTTCCCATCTGTGCCCGCTCCGGTCCCCGCAGCCTCGCCCTCCCCTTCCCTCCATCCTCCTCTCATCCCCTCTCCGGGCCTCTGCGCAGCCTCACCGGGGCGCTGCTGGTCCCGGTCCTTCCCATCTCTTCTCAAGGCTCATCCATCGTTCTCGCTGCCTGTCCCTGTGTCGCTCCGGTCCCTTTCCCCACCCTCCCATTCTGCCCCCAGCCCCTCCGACCTCTCCCCGCGGGCACGCTCTCACCGCCTTACCCTGCTCTCCAGAACTCTGACTCTGCTTCCTGCACCAGTTCCTCGGGCTGTCTATACCACACACACCGCCACCTCTGACCCTGAGCCCGTACTCCTATCTTAAGCTTCTCCCTCCAGCCAGGCCTTGGCACAAAGCACTTCCGCACCTCCCTACCTGCTGCTGCTCCCAGGATGCAAAGACCCCACTGCTGCACCGCGTCCTGCGGCAGTGGCAGCAGCCGGGGTACCTGCCCACCTTCCCACCCCGCCATCCAGCCGCATCCTGGCGTCCCTCCTCCTGGCATTTGTCCTGGGAGCTCCTACAGGGGCTGTTCTTTGCCCACAGCATCCCCGGTTGCTCCAGGTGGGAAGGCCCTTAGCACCCTTCCTCCCTGGCCACCGTCTCCCTCCCTCCCCACCCCCACTTTCCTGCTCAGCCTCACTTTGTGATTCAGCATTTTTGGGGTTGGTAACTTTCTTGCTTCCAGTCGTGATAGGGACCTGGTTACGGAGCTGAAGGCAGGGGTCTTGACCCTGCAGTTAGCAGGGCCACCTTAGGAACCACACCTGAGCTGCCTGGTTGGGAGGGGGCTGGGGAGCTGGGGACTGCCTGTAGGGGTTGCCTTTTCCTCCCTTTCATTTGTCTACCCTGTGTTGAACTGTGTCCAAGGGGAGATGACATAAGTAATAGCTCTTGGGGAAATGGGCTATTAGCATTTATGGAAATTAATACATCCACATCCGAGGAACAGGAACACCAAGTTCAGGCCACAGCTGTCCCGCTGTCTGTAATTTTAGGATTTCTTCTTTCTCTGCAACTTCTCCTCCCCCTCAAAAACACCAGCCTCACCCCTCCCCTTTCCCCAGTGCCAAGAGTAAGCTCCTGCTCTGCTAAAGAAGCCGCATTCAGGCCCCGCGTTGCAGGGTTTCGGGACCTACGTGTGGAGAGTCACATCTGCCCACCTGATTGCTGTGTCTGCTGCAGAGCCCTGTGCAGCTCCTGGCCCTGTGCTTTCGCAGTGTGGGGCCCTAAGAATGCACTTGGTCCTCCAGATCCTGTCTTTCTCTCTGGGGACAGCTCTCCATGGCCACGCTCAGCCTCAGTGGCACTGACAGTGTTCAGGCTGCAGCACATACCTGCCTCGAAAGCATCATGGCAGAGGCTTCCCTGTTAACACCCAGGGCCATTTTTTTCCCCTGCGCCAGTCAGCAAATGCTTTGTAGGTGCTGATCAACACCTGGGGACTGAGCCGGGCACTGGAGTTGGGGGGTATCATGAAAAAAAACAGTGTGAAACCCTTTTCGTGTGTTTTTTGGTTCAGAACCGTCTTGGGTCTGGATTTGGAGCCTGGATGGGAAGCAGTGTGCACAGAAGCCATTGCACCCAGGAGATGGGACATGGGCCATGGCACTAGGGAGCTGGAAAGGCCGAGGGTGCCATGGGCTGGCCAGCTAGAGAAGGCTTGCTCGCTTTCATTTTTCAGTAATCTTCTAAGACCTGAATGGTTCAGGAGGAAGCGAGTGCCACACAGTTTTGATTTGGCAGTTTCCGGCCTGGGCTTGGAGGGAGGGGCCTCCCCTAGACCTTCCTGTGTGTTGGCGCTCTGCCGTGGTAACTGGGCACACATCGTCTGTGTGGAAGAGAGCAGGCGAGAGAGCCTGCTCCCTCGCGAGAACTGGGGGAACGTGCTTCTGTTTCCGGGGACTCTGGCCAGGAGTGGCATGTGTTTGGTCCTTGGCTAAATTCTCAGTGATATTCACGTCGCCAGAGGTCCCAGAGTCAATGTTTTCCTGGCGTCCCTGAATAAGGAGGCAGGACAGTGGGCAGCTGGGGGCGGCAATTCGAGAAGGATTGATGCCAGAGATGTCGAGGGCCATAGACCCCATGTTCCTGCCAGCCCCTCTCCCACCACCAGTAGGGCTTGGGTCTTGGCACCCAACAGCTGGTCATCCTTGCTCTCAGAGGACTAAACGGAAGGACAGGCTTCTCCAGGGTCAACAGAGGCAGTGACGGAGCTGGGTTGGGCCCCCTACTTCCTACTTGTTTGAGCCCAGTTCGTACCTTGGCTGTCCGAGCTGAGGAAAGCCAGCCCCCGGAGGACATGACCGGCTGTCCCTTGGGAAGGCCACTTCGAGGCGTTGCTGACATTCATGTGCGCAGCCAGTGCCCTTGGGTGTATCCAAGTCACTGGAGGGGCTGTTGGGAGCGGCAGGTGCCACTACCATGGAGATTTCTCAGCGACTCAGTCCTGCCTGGCGTGCAGGCCCTGGTGCAAGGGTTCTGTTGTTTGTGGCCTTCAAAGAGATGACCCCATAGTTAGAGAAGAGTGAGGGCACCAGGTCCGTGCAGAGGAGGGACCCTCTTCTGCATCCCACACTGGAACTGCATTTATGACCTCGGTTCGCCTCAGGCACTTGTAAATAACCCTGTGAGGGAGGCTGGATAGGGAAACTGAGGCACAGAGCAGCAGT